CCATAGACCAGTGACCCCCGCGGCTTAGCATAATCGAATCCGCCCATTGTGACGACCACAGTTAGAACCAGAACGCTTGTTTCCATGGTGCTAGAACCAGAACGCTTGTTTCCATGGTGCTAGAACCAGAACGCTTGTTTCCATGGTGCTAGAACCAGAACGCTTGTTTCCATGGTGCAGGAGTCTTCCTATATTTACGGTACAGTCAATTCCAAGTTTAGGAGCTGATTATGCCAGAGAGGAAGAGACGAAGCGAGAGGATATACTCCGCCCAAAACCTTTTTTTTGTATGGAGGTCGAATAATTTTAGGTTTATTTGATCGAATAGATGTTTCATAATGTTTAGGCTGTTACAAATGTACTGATATTAGTGCATGCACGTGGCATTCTGGCAACTTTGAGGAAAAACTACTTAGTTGTGCCTGTTGTTCACACACTATCTGCCCTCTCATTGGCTAGAATGGTCCGACCGCATCGCGCATGCCTTTAATCATTGAGGACATGTCTATTGTTAGAGCGGTTACTCGGCTATCTTGTCAATATAATAGGGAATATTGGCCTATGCGGAGTCACCAGAAAACGCTTAACACACGGGATACAGCTGAGCTTTTTATAACCAAATGTCAATGTTTTATCTGTGGATACAGTGTTCTCAACCTGACGTCCGTTACCCCTGACAAACGGAAGTAGGAACTCCGCTCATGCGTCTTTTTTGTGTGTGCTTTTTTATGCTAACCCTAGCCAAATCATTAACTCTTTTCCAAACCTTAACCCAATTATCATTACTTGCCAGGAGAAATAAATTCGGACAAAGTGTTGATCCCTTCTAGCCATGGCCGTCTTTCTACGCCTGCTACGTTAGATTTGCAGCTGATAAATGACGTGGTTTGTTCCGGTAGCTTTTGAAGGAAGTGTTTTTAATGTAAAGAAAATACGTTTTGTTATGTAACTACTTTTGATTTCATTTTTATTACAACCGATTGGACTGTTTCCGAGCAGAACCGCTCTCGACTTGTGTGTGTGCCTACTAACGTCTGTGTCGTTGGACAACAATGAAGGCCTAGCTAGTTTTATCGCTCCTAGCTATCTACATCTGGATAATCTGCTCTCTTATGTGGGATTTCAACCCGTTACTGTACTGATCTTCGACATTACACTGTGAAATAAAATCAGGTATGTTTGATAGTTTGTTTGAAACGCAATGATTTCGTAGAGGGGTCCGAGTGGGATGTTATTGACGTTTCTAGCTAGCTAGCTAACTTGTTACAGTAGGCGTGTAGTGGGATAGATTGGTAGCTAAACCAGCTAACTAGCTGTCAACAATGTGTCATTAATGACCGCTCGTCTTGGCTATCTCTGATTTACTTTCCTACATTTGAACGATTATAACTATATTGAAGGGAAATGGAAGCTAGCTACTATTAAATAGATGATCTCATAATATGGAAGTGAAATGTTGATCTAACTGTATATCGCTCAGGATAAGAGGCTAGCATCTGCTAAATGACAAAAATGTAAATGCAAAAATCATGTCCACCAAAAGAGTATCACACTATTTGATTAGCTAGACAAGCTAGCTTGACATTTGCCTCAGGAAAGCCCACTGTCTTGTCCTAAACATTGCAATGGTCAAGCTGTATAGACAGCCGTTTTGGATGGAGAAGATCCTTGTCTTTTGTTGTGGCTATCATAGATGGCTAGCCCAGTGGTATATGCAGCATGTTTACTATGTTGATACGTGCAGGTATCTTGAGGACACTAGCTAGCTGTTTTTAAACAACAATACAGACATGAGATCAGGGGTGTGGCAGGTACACCTGGAGAGCTGTAACACCTGATTCAACTAGCTATCTGCAGTGCCTTCAGAAAGTATACACCCCTTGACTTGTTCCACATTTTGTTGTGTTATAAAGTCGGATTAAGATTGATTTGATTGTAATTTTTTTTGTCAACGATCTACACAAACTACTCTAATGTCAAAGTGGAAGAACAATTCTAACATTTGTAAAAGATTAATGAAAAATAAAACACTAATATATCTTGATTAGAAAAGTATTCAAACCCCCTGAGTCAATACATGTTAGAATCACCTTTGGCAGCGATTACAGCTGAGTCTTTCTGGGTAAGTCTCTAAGAGCTTTCCACACCTGGATTGTGCAACATTTGCCCATCATTCTTTTCAACAAGTTGGTTGTTGATCATTGCTTGACAACCATTTTCAGGTCTTGTCATAGATTTTCAAGGAGTCAAAACTGCAACTCTGCCACATTCACTGTCTTCTTGGTAAGCAGCTCCAGTGTAGGTTTGGCATTGTGTTTTAAGTTATTGTCCTGCTGAAAGGTGAATTCAAATCAAATCAAATCAAATCAAATTTTATTGGTCACATGCGCCGAATACAACAGGTGCAGACATTACAGTGAAATGCTTACTTACAGCCCTTAACCAACAGTGCATTTATTTTAAACAAAAAAAGTAAGAATAAAACAACAACAAAAAAAGTGTTGAGAGAAAAAGAGCAGAAGTAAAATAAAGTGACAGTAGGGAGGCTATATATACAGTAAAATAAAGTGACAGTAGGGAGGCTATATATACAGGGGGGTACCGTTGCAGAGTCAATGTGCGGGGGCACCGGCTAGTTGAGGTAGTCTGGTGGAAAGCAGACTGAACCAGGTTGTCCTTTAAGATTTTGCCTGTGCTTATCACCATCCAGTTTCCTTTTCTTCCTGAAAAACTCACCAGTCCATTTGTTTTTTGTTTTACTTTTTACCCCCCAATTCCGTGATATCCAATTGGTAGTTACAGTCTTGTCCCATCGCTGCGACACCCGTACGGACTTGGGAGAGGAGAAGGTCGAGAACCATGCGTCCTCCGAAACACGACCCTGCCAAGCCACACTGCTTCTTGACACACTGCCTGCTTAACCCGGAAACCAGCCGCACCAATGTGTCGGAGGAAACCCCGTACAGCTGGCCACCTGAAGTCAGCGTGCATGCGCCCGGCCCGCCACAAGGAGTCGCTAGAGCGCAATGGGACAAGGACATCCCGGCCAGCCAAACCCCTCCCCTTACCCGGACGACGCTGGGCCAATTGTACGCCACCTCATGGGTCTCCTTTTATTCTAAAATTGATTAAATAGTATTTTCAACCTCATCAATCTATACCCAATAATGACAAAGCAAAAACAGGTTTTTGGGGGAGTTTCTCCCATTCTTCTCTGCTGATCCTCTCAAGCTCTGTCAGGTTGGATGGGGAGCGTTGCTGCACAGCTATTTTCAGGTCTCTCCAGAGATGTTCGATCGTGTTCAAGTCCGGGCTCTGGCTGGACCACTCAATGATATTCAGAGACTTGTCCCGAAGCCACTCCTGCGTTGTCTTGGCTGTGTGCTTAGGGTCGTTGTCCTGTTGGAAGGTGAACCTTCGCCCCAGTCTGAGGTCCTGAGAACTCTGGAGCAGGTTTTCATCAAAGATCTCTCTGTACTTTGCTCCATTCATCTTTCCCTCAATCCTGACTAGTCTCCCAGTCCCTGCCACTGAAAAACACCCCCACAGCATGATGCTGCCACAACCATGCTTCACCGTAGGGATGGTGACAGGTTTCCTCCAGACGTGATTTGCTTTGGCAAATTTTTTGCCGTATTACTTCAGTGCAATCTGGTTTAACAAGTTGGTCTTTATGTGTTCACCTTAAATAGTGTTCAATATATGCTACAGGCTATGCAGAGCCATGGCCGTGTCCGCTCGGTTCTACCAGCTGTAGTTACATAGACCCAATGACTTTTTATTTTTTATTTAACCAGGTAAGCCAGTTGAGAACAAGTTCTCATTTACAACTGCGACCTGGCCAAGATAAAGCAAAGCAGTGCGATAAAAACAACAACACAGAGTTACATATGGGGTAAAAAAAACAAAGTCAAAAAATACAACAGAAAATATATATACAGTGTGTGCAAATGTAGCAAGTTATGGAGGTAAGGCAATAAATAGGCTATAGTGCAAAATAATTACAATTAGTATTAACACTGGAATGATAGATGTGCAAGAGATGATGTGCAAATAGAGATACTGGGGTGCAAATGAGCAAAATAAATAACAATATAGGGATGAGGTAGTTGGGTGGGCTAATTTCAGATGGGCTGTGTACAGGTGCAGTGATCGGTAAGGTGCTCTGACAACTGATGCTTAAAGTTAGTGAGGGAGATAAGAGTCTCCAGCTTCAGAGATTTTTGCAGTTCGTTCCAGTCATTGGCAGCAGAGAACTGGAAGGAATGGCGGCCAAAGGAGGTGTTGGCTTTGGGAATGACCAGTGAGATATACCTGCTGGAACGCAGACTACGGGTGGGTGCTGCTATGGTGACCAATGAGCTAAGATAAGGCAGGGATTTGCCTAGCAGTGATTTATAGATGGCCTGGAGCCAGTGGGTTTGACGACGAACATGTAGTGAGGACCAGCCAACAAGAGCGTACAGGTCACAGTGGTGGGTAGTGTATGGGGCTTTGGAGACAAAACGGATGGCACTGTGATAGACTACATCCAATTTACTGAGTAGAGTGACAATCAAACAGGACCTGACCCGGACCCGAGGGAAAAGTTAGAATGTTGGGCCCAAACCAGTTCGGTGAAAACCTCTAATACGCACTGTGTATTTCTAATGAACATTCTGGAACATGCAAGACTTTCATCAAGGCTTGACATTGTAAAAGCTGTACATGATATGTCCCATTGATAGATCTCTCTTTCTTTCCGTCTCTCTGTCCTTCTCTCTCTCTCTCTCTCTCTCTCTCTCTCTCTCTCTCTCTCTCTCTCTCTCTCTCTCTCCTTCTCTCTCTCTCTCCTTCTCTCTCTCTCTCTGTCTCTCTCTCTCTCTCTCTCTCTCTCTCTCTCTCTCTCTCTCTCTCTCTCTCTCTCTCTCTCTCTCTCTCTCTCTCTCTCACCAGTCACAATCATTCCCTCTTTCCCGTTCCTTAATTCCCACCACCTCTCTCTTCTCCCTCCCTCCCAGGTATGTCGTCCCAGCTCCAGGTGTTCTCTCCTCTTTCCATCTCCTCCAGCGCCTTCTGCCGCGTCAAGAAGATGAAGGTGGAGAGCTGTGTTTGGGAGGTGCCCTCTGATGCCCCCTATGGTTCCGTGGGGGGCCAGCAGGGGGCAGGGGGGTACTCCTTCGCCCCTGCAGTAGGCGTGGCCGTGCCCCCCTTCGCCCCCTCTGCGTTAGTGTTCCCTCCCACCCCAGGCTCCCGAGGCCAGGTGGTGGTCCGGGCGGCCGACAGCACAGGCAGCCTCCCCCGAGGCTCCAGCCGCCGCCTCAACGACCACTGCGCACACACCGAGACGACTGCGACAGGCACGGGGACACGACGACATGGCCAGAAGAGGAAGAATAAGGAAGTTGAAGCGAGTGGCAGTGGTAGTGTTCAGATCCTGGAGGAGCTCTCTGCCCCTCCACCCGTCTTCTCCACGCGGACAGGGGGAGGAGGAGGAGGAGGAGGGGGAACGGGCCAGTCCATCCCCAACTCGGCCCCCAACACCAAGAGCTCCAGCTCCAACGGAGAGGGGGACTACCAGCTGGTTCAGCATGAGATCCTGTGTTCAGTCTCCTGTAGTTATGAGGTGTTGGAGTTCCTGGGGAGGGGGACCTTCGGTCAGGTGGCCAAGTGCTGGAAGAGGGGAACCAATGAGATCGTGGCCATCAAGATCCTCAAGAACCACCCCTCATACGCACGACAGGGCCAGATCGAGGTGGGTTCAATTTTTTTCGGTCTGTCGTCATTGATTTGATTGGTGATGTTTATTAGCCTGGAATCCAAACTGATATGCACCGTTTCACCTTCGTGGTTTTGTGAAGTGAGACTCACTATGGGGAAACAAAGCACTTCAGCTTGGACACCAGGCTAGATGTTTATTGCCTTTCAAGAGGACTTTCTCCATAGACCTTCAACCCCTCCTGTCAATGAAATGCAAGTGTTTGACCAGCCCAATAATAGATAGGACTTACCCATGTAGAGTTGAAGTTGGAAGTTTACATACACCTTAGCCAAATACATTTAAACTCAGTTTTTCACAATTCCTGACATTTAATCCTAGTAAAAATTCCCTGTTTTAGGTCAGAATAATAGTAGAGAGAATGATTTATTTCAGCTTTTATTTCTTTCATCACATTCCCAGTGGGTCAGAAGTTTACATACACTCAATTAGTATTTGGTAGCATTGCCTTTAAATTGTTTAACTTGGGTCAAACGTTTCGGGTAGCCTTCCACATGCTTCCCACAATAAGTTGGGTGAATTTTGGCCCATTCCTCCTGACAGAGCTGGTGTAACTGAGTCAGGTTTGTAGGCCTCCTTGCTCACACATGCATTTTCAGTTCTGCCCAAACCTTTTCTATAGGATTGAGGTCAGGGCTTTGTGATGGCTACTCCAATACCTTGACTTTGTTGTCCTTAAGCCATTTTGCCACAACTTTGGAAGTATGCTTGGGGTCATTGTCCATTTGGAAGACCCATTTGCGACCAAGCTTTAACTTCCTGACTGATGTCTTGAGATGTTGCAGTGCACCAGTCCCTCCTGCAGCAAAGCACCCCCACAGCATGATGCTGCCACCCCCGTGCTTCACGGTTGGGATGGTGTTCTTCGTCTTGCAAGCACCCCCTTTTTCCTCCAAACGTAACGATGGTCATTATGGCCAAACAGTTATATTTTTGTTTCATCAGACCAAAGGACATTTCTCCAAAAAGTACGATATTTGTCCCCATGTGCAGTTGCAAACCGTAGTCTGGCTTTTTTATGGCGGTTTTGGAGCAGTGGCTTCTTCCTTGCTGAGCGGCCTTTCAGGTTATGTTAATATAGGACTCGTTTTACTGTGGATATAGATACTTTTGTACCTGTTTCCTCCAGCATCTTCACAAGGTCCTTTGCTGTTGTTCTGGGATTGTTTTGCACTTTTCGCACCAAAGTACGTTCGTCTCTAGGAGACAGAACGCGTCTCCTTCCTGAGCGGTATGACGGCTGCGTGGTCCCATGGTGTTTATACTTGCGTACTATTGTTTGTACAGATGAACGTGGTACCTTCAGGCGTTAGGTAATTGCTCCCAAGGATGAACCAGACTGAGGTCTTGGCTGATTTCTTTTGATTTTCCCATGATGTCAAGCAAAGAGGCACTGAGTTTGAAGGTAGGCCTTGAAATACATCCACAGGTACACATCCAGTTGACTCAAATGAGGTCAATTAGCCTATCAGAAGCTTCTAAAGCCATGACATCATTTTCTGTAATTTTCCAAGCTGTTTAAAGGCACAGTCAACTTAGTGTATGTAAACTTCTGACCCACTGGAATTGTGATACAGTGAATTATAAGTTAAATAATCTGTCTGTAAACAATTGTTGGAAAAATTACTTGTGTCATGCACAAAGTAGATGTCCTAACCGACTTGCCAAAACTATAGTTTGTTAACAAGAAATTTGTGGAGTGGTTGAAAAACAAGTTTTAATGACTCCAACCTAAGTGTATGTCAACTTCCGACTTCAACTGTACAGTGTGTTGTGGGTTGTCAATGTTTTCTCACCAACACACACTCTTGATACATGTTTATTACCCTTCAAGCAAAAAGTCTGGTAATCCATAGATCGTCTATTGGGGACTATCCAAATAAAGTGTGACTGAAATTCTCACCGTAGACCAGGCATGGAGATCTATCCCTAACATACACACCTCCTGCTTGTTGCCAGGAGCGAGACTAGTTCTAGAAAAGACAACACTGGAGAAAACAAGTGTAGCGGAGTACGTTGAGCTGTGTCAACGTTTCCCACCGTCTGTTCCCAGGTGGGCATCCTGAACCGCCTGAGTGCGGAGAACGCCGATGAGTTTAACTTTGTGCGTTCCTACGAGTGTTTCCAACACAAGGGCCACACCTGCCTGGTGTTTGAGATGCTGGAGCAGAACCTCTATGACTTCCTGAAGCACAGCAAGTTCAGCCCCCTGCCATTACGACACATCAGACCCATACTGCAACAGGTGACAAAACAGTACAACTTTATTGATCCATTATAGAGACACTATAGAAATGTGTGGAAGAAAGATGATCATGATGTTATGGTTGAACCTGATTTGACAGTCTGTTTACCTGGTAGGCCTACACATTCTAAAAGTTGAGTTGTATTACACTGTTATTTACATTTTACATTTACATTTTAGTCATTTAGCAGACACTCTTATCCAGAGCGACTTACAGTTAGTGAGTGCATACATTTTCATACTGCCCCCCCGTGGGAATCGAACCCACAAACCTGGCGTTGCAAACACCATGCTCTACCAACTGAGCTACACAGGACTTTCCAATGTTTACACTGTTATTATTACACTTATTATTCCACTGTTATTATTACGTTGTTATTATTACGTTGTTGTTATTACACTACTGTTATTACACTGTTATTATTACACTGTTATTACACTTATTATTACACTGTTATTACACTGTTATTATTACACTGTTATTATTATACATATTATTACACTGTTTGTACACTATTACACTTATTACATTTATTACACTGTTATTATTACACTTATTATTACATTGTTATTATTACACTTATTATTACATTGTTATTATTACACTTATTACATTGTTATTATTACACTTATTACACTGTTATATTACGCTGTTATTATTACGTTGTTGTTATTACTTTGTTATTACACTACTGTTATTACACTGTTATTATTACACTGTTATTACACTGTTTGTACACTATTACACTTATTACATTTATTACACTGTTATTATTACATTGATATTATTACACTTATTACACTTTTATTATTACACTTATTACACTGTTATATTACGCTGTTATTATTACACATATTATTATGCTGTTATTATTACACTTATTACACTGATATTATTATGCTGTTATTATTACACAGTTATTATTATAATGATATCACTGTTATTACACTGTTATTATTACACTGTCATTACATTTATTACACTGATATTATTACACTTGTTATTACACTTATTACACTGCTATTATTACACTTATTACATTGTTATTATTACACTTATTACACTGTTATATTACGCTGTTATTATTACACATATTACACTTATTACATTTATTATTGTACTTATTATGACTGTTATTATTACTGTTATTATTACACTTATTATTACGCTGTTATTATTACTGTTATTATTATAATGATATCACACTGTTATCACACTTATTATTACACTTATTACATTTAATACACTTATTATTACACTGTTATTATTACACTGTTATTATTACACTGTTATTATTACACTTATTACACTGTTATTACACGTATTATACTGTTATACTACGCTGTTATTATTACATATATTATTATGCTGTTAGTATTACACTATTATGCTGTTATTATTACACTTATTACACTGTTACTATTACACTGTTATTACACTTATTATTACACTTGTTATTACATGGTTATTACACTTATTATTACACTTATTAAATTTTTGTTATTACATGTATTATACTGTTATATTACGCTGTTATTATTACATATATTATTATGCTGTTATTATTACACTTATTACACTGTTATTATTACACTGTTATATTTACTGTTATTACACTGTTATTACATTATTACACTTATTACACCTATTACACTGTTATTATTACACTGTTATTACACTTATTACACTGTTATTACACTGTTATTATTACACTGTTATTATTACACTGTTATTACACTGTTATTACACTGTTATTATTACACTTATTACACTGTTACATTACACTGTTATTACACTTATTATTACACTTGTTATTACACGGTTATTACACTTATTATTACACTTATTACATTTTTGTTATTACATGTATTATACTGTTATATTACGCTGTTATTATTACATATATTATTATGCTGTTATTATTACACTTATTACACTTATTATTACACTGTTATATTTACTGTTATTACACTGTTATTACATTATTACACTTATTACACCTATTACACTGTTATTATTACACTGTTATTATTACACTGTTATTATTACACTGTTATTACACTGTTATTATTACACTGATTACACTGTTATTATTACACTGTCATTACATTTATTACACTGATATTATTACACTTGTTATTACACTTATTACACTGCTATTATTACACTTATTACATTGTCATTATTACACTTATTACACTGTTATATTACGCTGTTATTATTACACATATTACACTTATTACATTTATTGTACTTATTATGACTGTTATTATTACTGTTATTATTACACTTATTATTACGCTGTTATTATTACTGTTATTATTATAATGATATCACACTGTTATCACACTTATTATTACACTGTTATTACATTTAATACACTTATTATTACACTGTTATTATTACACTGTTATTATTACACTTATTACACTGTTATTACACGTATTATACTGTTATACTACGCTGTTATTATTACACATATTATTATGCTGTTAGTATTACACTATTATGCTGTTATTATTACACTTATTACACTGTTACTATTACACTGTTATTACACTTGTTATTACACGGTTATTACACTTATTATTACACTTATTACATTTTTGTTATTACATGTATTATACTGTTATATTACGCTGTTATTATTACATATATTATTATGCTGTTATTATTACACTAATTACACTGTTATTATTACACTGTTATATTTACTGTTATTACACTGTTATTACATTATTACACTTATTACACCCATTACACTGTTATTATTACACTGTTATTACACTTATTACACTGTTATTATTACACTGTTATTATTACACTGTTATTATTACACTGTTATTACACTGTTATTACACTGTTATTATTACACTGTTATTATTACACTGTTATTACACTGTTACTATTACACTGTTATTACACTTATTATTACACTTGTTATTACACGGTTATTACACTTATTATTACACTTATTACATTTTTGTTATTACATGTATTATACTGTTATATTACGCTGTTATTATTACATATATTATTATGCTGTTATTATTACACTTATTACACTGTTATTATTACACTGTTATATTTACTGTTATTACACTGTTATTACATTATTACACTTATTACACCTATTACACTGTTATTATTACACTGTTATTATTACACTGTTATTACACTGTTATTATTACACTGTTATTACACTGTTATTACACTGTTATTATTACACTGATTACACTGTTATTATGACACTTATTATTACACTGTTATTATTACGCTGTTATTACACTTATTACACTGTTAATATTACACTTATTACACTGTTATTACACTGTTACAACGTCTCCTGAGTGGCGCAGTGGTCTAAGGCACTGCATCGCAGTGCTAACTGTGCCACTAGAGAACCTGGTTCGAATCCAGGCTCTGTCGTAGCCGGCCGCGACCGGGAGACTCATGGGCGGCGCACAATTGGCCCAGCGTCGTCCAGGGTAGGGGAGGGAATGGCCGGCAGGGATGTAGCTCAGTTGATAGAGCATGTCGTTTGCAACGCCAGGGTTGTGGGTTCGATTCCCACGGGGGGCCAGTATAAAAAAAAAAATGTATTCACTAACTGTAAGTCGCTCTGGATAAGAGCGTCTGCTAAATGACTAAAAATGTTAATTACACTGTTATTATTATACTGATATTATTACACTGTTATTATGACACTTATTATTACACTGTTATTATTACACTGTTATTACACTGTTATTATTACACTGTTATTACACTGTTATTATTATAATGATATCACACTGTTATTACACATATTATTACGCTGTTATTACACTGTTACACTATTACACTGTTGTACACTATTACACTTATTTTATTTAGTACACTATTATTACACTGGTATTATTACACTTATTACACTGTTTTTACACGTATTATACTGTTATAATAATAATAATAATAATATAATATGCCATTTAGCAGACGCTTTTATCCAAAGCGACTTACAGTCATGCGTGCATACATTTTTTATTTTTTTTTGTGTATGGGTGGTCCCGGGGATCGAACCCACTACCTTGGCGTTACAAGCGCCGTGCTCTACCAGCTGAGCTACAGAGGACCACATTACATTATATTACACTGTTATTATTATACATATTATTATGCTGTTATTATTACAGTTATTACACTTGATATTACACTAATTATTACTGCTGTTATTACACTATTATTTCACTTATTATTACTATTATTACACTGATATTACACTGTTTGTACACTATTACATTTATTACACTATTATTACACAAATTATTACGCTTGTTATTACGCTGTTATTATTCCACTTATACTTACACTCATTATTACACTTATTACACTGTTATTATTACCAAACTAAACCCTAAACTAAACATTGACAAAACAGTTTCATGGTAACCTACTCTGACTGTGTGCTGTTGATAGTAGTTGTCTGTTTTGCCCCGAAGTGAGTTCTGTCTCCCTTACTTTTTATGTATCATAGAAAATGATTTCTTGAAAAGAGTGGGAACCGTGCTCCATTTACATTGGGTTGATGTCAATGAGAGACTAATGCTTTTGAAACCTTGCCTGTTCATAGCCTGCAGTGCGAACACCTTTTGAAACCTTGCCCGTTCATAGCCTGCAGTGCGAACACCTTTTGAAACCCTGCATTACCTTAATTTGACCACTAGGTGGCGACAGCGCTAATGAAGCTGAAGTCTCTGGGTCTGATCCATGCTGACCTGAAGCCAGAGAACATCATGCTGGTGGATCCACTCAGACAGCCCTACAGGGTCAAGGTCATCGACTTCGGCTCAGCCTCCCACGTCTCCAAGGCTGTCTGTTCCACGTACCTCCAGTCACGATACTACAGGTGTGTGTGTGTGTGTGTGTGTGTGTGTGTGTGTGTGTGTGTGTGTGTGTGGCCAGTCACGTCTCCAAGGCTGTCTGCTTAACGTTCCCCCTAGTCATGATACTGCAGTTAGATATGCCTGTTTTTACACCTGAGACTAGGGGTTTCCCTGTGCAGGTGAGTGTTTGAGTGATACAACATGGTTTACCACTGTAAACAAGCACCTGAGGGACAGTGCATTCGGAAAGTATTCAGACCCCTTGACTTTTCCAAATTTTGTTACGTTACAGCCTTATTCTAAAATTGATTAAACCCCCCCCCCCCCCCTCATCATGTTACAATAACCCATAATGACAAAGTAAAAACAGATTTTTAGAAATCTTTGCACATTTATAAAAAAGTACAATAAATGAAATATGACACTTACATAAGTATTCAGACCCTTTACTCAGTACTTTGTTGAAGCACCTTTGGCAGCGATTACAGCCTCGAGTCTTCTTGGGTATGACGCTACAAGCTTGGCGTACCTGTACTTGGGGAGTTTCTCCCATTCTTCTCTGCAGATCCTCTCAAGCTGTGTCAGGTTGGATGGGGAGTGTCGCTGCACAGCTATTTTCAGGTCTCTCCAGAGATGTTTGATCGGGTTCAAGTCCGGGCTCTGGCTGGGCCACTCAAGGACATTCAGAGACTTGCCCCGAAGCCACTCCTGTGTTGTCTTGGCTGTGTGCTTAGGGTTGTTGTCCTGTTGGAAGCTGAACCTTCACCCCAGTCTGAGGTCCTGAGAACTCTGGAGCAGGTTTTCATCAAGGATCTCTCTGTACTTTGCTCCGTTCATCTTTCCCTCGATCCTGACTAGTCTCCCAGTCCCTGAAAAACATCACCACAGCATGATGCTGCCACCACCATGTTTCACCGTAGGGATGGTGCCAGGTTTCCTCCAGACGTGACGCTTGGCATTCAGGTCAAATAGTTCAAACTTGGTTTCATCAGACCAGAGAATCTTGTTTCTCATGGTCTGAGAATCCTTTAGGTGCCTTTTGGCAAACTCCAAGCGGGCTGTCATGTGCCTTTTACTGAGGAGTCGATTCCGTCTGGCCACTCTACCATAAAGGCCTGATTGGTGGAGTGCTGCAGAGATGGTTGTCCTTTTGGAAGGTTCTCCCATCTCCACAGAGGAACTGGGAGCTCTACGGACAATTCCTGGCTTGGTTTTTGCTCTGACATGCACTGTCAACAGTGGGACCTTATAAAGTCAGGTGTGTGCCTTTCCAAGTCATGTCCAATCAATTAAATGTACCAAAGGTGGACTCCAATCAAGTTGTAGAAACCTCTCAAGGAAGATCACTGGAAACAGGATGCACCTGAGCTCAATTTTGAGTCTCATAGCAAAGGGTCTGGATACTTATGTAAATAAGGTAATTCTGTTTTTTATTTTAAAAACATTTTCTAAAATTTCTAAAAATATGTTTTCGCTTTGTCACTATTGGATATTGTGTGATGAGGGGGGGAATTTTAGAATAAGGCTGTAATGTAACAAAATGTGGAAAAAGTGAAGGGGTCTGAATACTTTCAGAATGCACTGTATGTAACATTATGGTACAGGAATATCAGTGGAGGCTGCTGAGGGGAGAACGGCTCATAATAATTGATGGAACGGAGCAAATGGAATCGTTTTAGAAACCTTGTGTTTAATGCGTTTGACACCATTCCACCAATTCCGCCCCAGTCATTACCACGAGCCCATTCCGCTCCAGTCATTACCACGAGCCCATTCCGCTCCAGTCATTACCACGAGCCCATTCCGCTCCAGTCATTACCACGAGCCCATTCCGCTCCAGTCATTACCACGAGCCCATTCCGCTCCAGTCATTACCACGAGCCCATTCCGCTCCAGTCATTACCACGAGCCCATTCCGCTCCAGTCATTACCACGAGCCCATTCCGCTCCAGTCATTACCACGAGCCCATTCCGCTCCAGTCATTACCACGAGCCCATTCCGCTCCAGTCATTACCACGAGCCCATTCCGCTCCAGTCATTACCACGAGCCCATTCCGCTCCAGTCATTACCACGAGCCCATTCCGCTCCAGTCATTACCACGAGCCCGTCCTCCACCAACCTCCTGTGAGGTATATCTAACAGTATGGTACAGGTACAGTGGGGAGAACAAGTATTTGATACACTGCCGATTTTGCAGGTTTTCCTACTTACAAAGCATGTAGAGGTCTGTAATTTTTTATCATAGGTACACTTCAACTGTGAGAGACGGAATCTAAAACAAAAATCCAGAAAATCACATTGTATGATTTTTTAAAAGTAATTAATTAGCATTTTATTGCATGACATACGTATTTGATCACCTACCAACCAGTAAGAATTCCGGCTCTCACAGACCTGTTAGTTTTTCTTTAAGAAGCCCTCCTGTTCTCCACTCATTACCTGTATTAACTGCACCTGTTTGAACTCGTTACCTGTATAAAAGACACCTGTCCACACACTCAATCAAACAGACTCCAACCTCTCCACAATGGCCAAGACCAGAGAGCTGTGTAAGGACATCGGGGATAAAATTGTAGACCTGCACAAGGCTGGGATGGGCTACAGGACAATAGGCAAGCAGCTTGGTGAGAAGGCAACAACTGTTGGCGCAATTATTAGAAAATGGAAGAAGTTCAAGATGACGGTCAATCACCCTTGGTCTGGGGCTCCATGCAAGATCTCACCTCGTGGGGCATCAATGATCATGAGGAAGGTGAGGGATCAGCCCAGAACTACACGGCAGGACCTGGTCAATGACCTGAAGAGAGCTGGGACCACAGTCTCAAAGAAAACCATTAGTAACACACTACGCCGTCATGGATTAAAATCCTGCAGCGGACGCAAGGTCCCCTTGCTCAAGCCAGCGCATGTCCAGGCCCGTCTGAAGTTTGCCAATGACCATTTGGATGATCCAGAGGAGGAATGGGAGAAGGTCATGTGGTCTGATGAGACAAAAATATAGCTTTTTGGTCTAAACTCCACTCGCCGTGTTTGGAGGAAGAAGAAGGATGAGTACAACCCCAAGAACACCATCCCAACCGTGAAGCATGGAGGTGGAAACATCATTCTTTGGGGATGCTTTTCTGCAAAGGGGACTGGACGACTGCACCGTATTGAGGGGAGGATGGATGGGGCCATGTATCGCGAGATCTTGGCCAACAACCTCCTTCCCTCAGTAAGAGCATTGAAGATGGGTCGTGTCTGGGTCTTCCAGCATGACAACGACCCGAAACACACAGCCAAGGCAACTAAGGAGTGGCTCCGTAAGAAGCATCACAAGGTCCTGGAGTGGCCTAGCCAGTCTCCAGACCTGAACCCAATAGAAAATCTTTGGAGGGAGCTGAACGTCCGTTTTGCCCAGCGACAGCCCCGAAACCTGAAGGATCTGGAGAAGGTCTGTATGGAGGAGTGGGCTAAAATCCCTGCTGCAGTGTGTGCAAACCTGGTCAAGACCTACAGGAAACGTATGATCTCTGTAATTGCAAACAAAGGTTTCTGTACCAAATATTAAGTTCTGCTTTTCTGATGTATCAAATACTTATGTCATGCAATAACATTTTCGGGATTTTTGTTTTAGATTCCGTCTCTCACAGTTGAAGTGTACCTATGATAAAAATTACAGACCTCTACATGCTTTGTAAGTAGGAAAACCTGCAAAATCGGCAGTGTATCAAATACTTGTTCTCCCCACTGTATATCTAACATTATGGCACAGGTATATGTCCACTACAGTCTTGGTATAATGAAGTCCAGGTGGTTATTCCACTACAGTCTTGGTATAATGAAGTCCAGGTGGTTATTCCACTACAGTCTTGGTATAATGAAGTCCTGGTGGTTATTCCACTACAGTCTTGGTATAATGAAGTCCAGGTGGTTATTCCACTACAGTCTTGGTATAATGAAGTCCTGGTGGTTATTCCACTACAGTCTTGGTATAATGAAGTCCAGGTGGTTATTCCACTACAGTCTTGGTATAATGAAGTCCTGGTGGTTATTCCACTACAGTCTTGGTATAATGAAGTCCAGGTGGTTATTCCACTACAGTCTTGGCATAATGAAGTCCAGGTGGTTATTCCACTACAGTCTTGGTATAATGAAGTCCAGGTGGTTATTCCACTACAGTCTTGGTATAATGAAGTCCAGGTGGTTATTCCACTACAGTCTTGGTATAATGAAGTCCAGGTGGTTATTCCACTACAGTCTTGGTATAATGAAGTCCAGGTGGTTATTCCACTACAGTCTTGGTATAATGAAGTCCAGGTGGTTATTCCACTACAGTCTTGGTATAATGAAGTCCAGGTGATTGCTGGTATTTGGCTAATAATGTTCTATGTTTTCTCCCTCAGGGCTCCAGAGATCATCCTGGGCCTGCCGTTCTGCGAGGCGATAGACATGTGGTCTTTGGGGTGTGTTATAGCGGAGCTGTTCCTGGGGTGGCCCCTCTATCCCGGGGCATCAGAATACGACCAGGTTAGGACTGCTAAACACATTGTTATTTTTATCCTAAACTGTTATGATGGAATCTTATTTTCTCGTGAGGAGCCGTTACATCTCTCAGACACTTCCTGGGTTGTGTTCTTAACCAAGCTACACCACCGTTCAAAAGTTTGGGGTCACTTAGAAATGTCCTTGTTTTCCATGAAAAAATACATGAAATGAGTTTGAATAGGAAATATGGCAAAATGCATAGGAAATGTAGTCATTGACAAGGTTATAAATAATGATTTTTTTAATAGAAATAATAGTGTCCTTCAAACTTTGCTTTCGTCAAAGAATCCTCCATTTGCAGCAATTACAGCCTTGCAGACCTTTTAAAAAATGTTTTATTTAACCAGGTAAGCCAGTTGAGAACAAGTTCTCATTTACAACTGCGACCTGGCCAAGATAAAGCAAAGCAGTGCGATAAAAACAACAACACAGAGTTACATATGGGGTAAACAAAACATAAAGTCAAAAAATACAACAGAAAATATATATACAGTGTGTGCAAATGTAGCAAGTTATGGAGGTAAGGCAATAAATAGGCTATAGTGCAAAATAATTACAATTAGTATTAACACTGGAAAGATAGATGTGCAAAAGATGATGTGCAAATAGAGATACTGGGGTGCAAATGAGCAAAATAAATAACAATATAGGGATGAGGTAGTTGGGTGGGCTAATTTCAGAATGGGCTGTGTACAGGTGCAGTGATCGGTAAGCTGCTCTGACAACTGATGCTTAAAGTTAGTGAGGGAGATAAGTGTCTCCAGCTTCAGAGATTTTTGTAGTTCGTTCCAGTCATTGGCAGCAGAGAACTGGAAGGAATGGCGGCCAAAGGAGGTGTTGGCTTTGGGGATGACCAGTGAGATATACCTGCTGGAGCACAGACTACGGGTGGGTGTTGCTATGGTGACCAGTGAGCTAAGATAAGACGGGGATTTGCCTAGCAGTGATTTATAGATGACCTGGAGCCAGTGGGTTTGGCGACAAATATGTAGTGAGGGCCAGCCAACGAGAGCGTACAGGTCACAGTGGTGGGTAGTATATGGGGCTTTGGTGACAAAACGGATGGCACTGTGATAGACTACATCCAATTTGCTGAGTAGAGTGTTGGAGGCTATTTTGTAAATGACATCGCCGAAGTCAAGAATCGGTAGGATAGTCAGTTTTATGAGGGCATGTTTGGCAGCATGAGTGAAGGAGGCTTTGTTGCGAAATAGGAAGCCGATTCTAGATTTAACTTTGGATTGGAGATGCTAAATGTGAGTCTGGAAGGAGAGTTTACGGTCTAACCAGACACCTAGGTATTTGTAGTTGTCCACATATTCTAAGTCAGACCCGCCGAGAGTAGTGATTCTAGTCGGTCGGGCGGGCGGGTGCCAGCAGCGTTCAATTGAGGAGCATGCATTTAGTTTTACTAGCGTTTAAGAGCAGTTGGAGGCTACGGAAGGAGTGTTGTATGGCATTGAAGCTCGTTTGGAGGTTTGTTAACAGTGTCCAATGAAGGGCCAGATGTATACAAAATGGTGTCGTCTACGTAGAGGTGGATCTGAGAGTCACCAGCAGCAAGAGCGACATCATTGATATACACAGAGAATAGAGTCGGCCCGAGAATTGAACCCTGTGGCACCCCCATAGAGACTGCCATAGGTCCAGACATCAGTCCCTCCGATTTGACACATTGAACTCTGAGAAGTAGTTGGTGAACCAGGCGAGGCAGTCATTTGAGAAACCAAGGCTATTTGGTCTGCCAATTAGAATGCGATGATTGACAGAGTTGAAAGCCTTGGCCAGGTCGATGAAGACGGCTGCACAGTACTGTCTATTATCGATCGCGGTTATAATATCGTGGGCAAGTTGCAGCAGAGGGTGCAGAGCTGGTGGCCGGGGTAGTGGTAGCCAGGTGGAAAGCATGGCCAGCCCTAGCAAAATGCTTGTTGAAATTCTCGATTATTGTAGATTTATCGGTGGTGACAGTGTTTCCTAGCCTCAGTGCAGTGGGCAGCTGGGAGGAGGTGCTCTTATTCTCCATGGACTTTACAGTGTCCCAAAACTTTTTGGAGTTAGTGCTACAGGATGCAAATTTCTGTTTGAAAAAGCTAGCCTTTGCTTTCCTAACTGATTGTGTATATTGGCTCCTGACTTCCCTGAAAAGTTGCATATCGCGGGGGCTGTTCGATGCTAATGCAGTACGCCACAGGATGTTTTTGTGCTGGTCAAGGTCAATCATGTCTGAGGTGAACCAGGGGCTATATCTGTTCTTAGTTCTGCATTTTTTGAATGGGGCATGCTTATTTAAGATGGAGAGGAAAGCACTGGCATTCTAGTTGTCATTTTGTTGAGGTAATCTGAAGAGATTTCACCCCTTGCTTCCTGAAGCACCTCCCACCAGTTGGATTGGCTTGATGGGCACTTCTTACGTACCATACGGTCAAGCTGCTCCCACAACATCTCAATAGGGTTGAGATCCGGTGACTGTGCTGGCCACTCCATTATAGACAGAATACCAGCTGACTGCTTCTTCCCTAAATAGTTATTGCATAGTTTGGAGCTGTGCTTTGGGTCATTGTCCTGTTGTAGGAGGAAATTGGCTCCAATCAAGCGCCGTCCACAGGGTATGGCATGACATTGCAAAATGGAGTGATAGCCTTCCTTCTTCAAGATCCCTTTTACCCTGTACAAATCTCCCACTTTACCACCACCAAAGCACCCCCAGACCATCACATTGCCTCCACCATGCTTGACAGATGGCATCAAGCACTCCTCCAGCATCTTTTCATTTGGTCTGGGTCTCACAAATGTTCTTCTTTGTGATCCAAACACCTCAAACTTCGATTAATCTGTCCATAACACTTTTTTCCAATCTTCCTCCGTCCAGTGTCTGTGTTATTTTGCCCATCTTAATCTTTTGTTTTTATTGGCCAGTCTGAGATATGGCTTTTTCTTTGCAACTCTGCCTAGAAGGTCAGCATCCCGGAGTCGCCTCTTCACTGTTGACGTTGAGACTGGTGTTTTGCGGGTACTATTTAATGAAGCTGCCAGTTGAGGACCTGTGAGGCGTCTGTTTCTCACTAGACACTCTAATGTATTTGTCCTCTTGCTCAGTTGTGCACCGGGGCCTCCCACTCCTCTTTCTATTCTGGTTAGAGCCAGTTTGCCCTGTTCTGTGAAGGGATGTAGTACACAGCGTTGTACGAGATCTTCAGTTTCTTGGCAATATCTCACATGGAATAGCCTTCATTTCTCAGAACAAGAATAGACTGACAAGTTTCAGAAGAAAGTTATTTTTTTCTGGCCATTTTGAGCCTGTAATCGAACCCACAATTGCTGATGCTCCAGATACTCAACTAGTCTCAAGAATGCCAGTTGTATTGCTTCTTTAATCAGCACAACAGTTTTCAGCTGTGCTAAAATAATTGCAAAAGGGTTTTCTAATTATCAATTAGCCTTTTAAAATGATAAACTTGGATTAGCAAACACACAACGTGCCATTGGAACACAGGACTGATGGTTGCTGATAATGGGCCTCTGTACGCCTATGTACAGTGAGGGAAAAAAGTATTTGATCCCCTGCTGATTTTGTACGTTTGCCCACTGACAAAGAAATGATCAGTCTATAATTTTAATGGTAGGTTTATTTGAACAGTGAGAGACAGAATAACAACAAAAAAATCCAGAAAAACGCATGTCAAAAATGTTATTAATTGATTTGCATTTTAATGAGGGAAATAAATATTTGACCCCTCTGCAAAACATGACTTAGTACTTGGTGGCAAAACCCTTGTTGGCAATCACAGAGGTCAGACGTTTCTTGTAGTTGGCCACCAGGTTTGCACACATCTCAGGAGGGATTTTGTCCCACTCCTCTTTGCAGATCTTCTCCAAGTCATTAAGGTTTCGAGGCTGACGTTTGGCAATTCGAACCTTCAGCTCCCTCCACAGATTTTCTATGGGATTAAGGTCTGGAGACTGGCTAGGCCACTCCAGGACCTTAATGTGCTTCTTCTTGAGCCACTCCTTTGTTGCCTTGGCCGTGTGTTTTGGGTCATTGTCATGCTGGAATACCCATCCACGACCCATTTTCAATGCCTTGGCTGAGGGAAGGAGGTTCTCACTCAAGATTTGACGGTACATGGCCCCGTCCATCATCCCTTTGATGCGGTGAAGTTGTCCTGTCCCCTTAGCAGAAAAACACCCCCAAAGCATAATGTTTCCACCTCCATGTTTGACGGTGGGGATGGTGTTCTTGGGGTCATAGGCAGCATTCCTCCTCCTCCAAACACGGCGAGTTGAGTTGATGCCAAAGACCTCGATTTTGGTCTCATCTGACCACAACACTTTCACCAAGTTCTCCTCTGAATCATTCAGATGTTCATTGGCAAACTTCAGATGGCCCTGTATATGTGCTTTCTTGAGCAGGGGGACCATGCGGGCGCTGCAGGATTTCAGTCCTTCACGGCATAGTGTGTTACCAATTGTTATCTTGGTGACTACGGTCCCAGCTGCCTTGAGATCATTGACAAGATCCTCCCGTGTAGTTCTGGGCTGATTCCTCACCGTTCTCATGATCATTGCAACTCCACGAGGTGAGACCTTGCATGGAGCCCCAGGCCGAGGGAGATTGACAAGTCTTTTGTGTTTCTTCAATATTTGCGAATAATCGCACCAACTGTTGTAACCTTCTCACCAAGCTGCTTGGCGATGGTCTTGTAGCCCATTCCAGCCTTGTGTAGGTCTACAATCTTGTCCCTGACATCTTTGGAGAGCTCTTTGGTCTTGGCCATGGTAGAGAGTTTGGAATCTGATTGATTGATTGCTTCTGTGGACAGGTGTCTTTTATACAGGTAACAAACTGAGATTAGGAGCACTCCCTTTAAGAGTGTGCTTCTAATCTCAGCTCTTTACCTTTTATAAAAAGACACCTGGGAGCCAGAAATCTTTCTGATTGAGAGGGGGTCAAATACTTACAAGAAACGTCTGACCTCTGTGATTGCCAACAAGGGTTTTGCCACCAAGTACTAAGTCATGTTTTGCAGAGGGGTCAAATATTTATTTCCCTCATTAAAATGCAAATCAATTTATAACATTTTTGACATGCGTTTTTCTGGATTTTTTTGTTGTTATTTTGTCTCTCACTGTTCAAATAAACCTACCATTAAAATTATAGACTGATCATTTCTTTGTCAGTGGGGATCAAATACTTTTTTCCCCTCACTGTAGATATTCCATAAAAAATCAGCCGTTTCCAGCTACAATAGCCATTTACAACAATAACAATGTCTACACTGTATTTCTGATCAATTTGATGTTATTTTAATAGACAACTTTTTTTTTTGCTTTTCTTTCGAAGAAAACAAGGACATTTCTAAGTGACCCCAAACTTTTGAACGGTAGTGTATATCAAACTGTTGATTTTAAATGTATTACAATGGAGTGTAAAACCTTCCTACCTTTCCTCCTCCGCTAGATCCGATATATATCCCAGACTCAGGGCCTGCCTGCAGAGTACCTGCTGAGCGCCGGCACCAAGACTGGCCGCTTCTTCAAGAGAGGACCTGACTCCAGCTACCCCCTGTGGAGGATCAAGGTATTACACACCTCCTCACTTGCCGCAACAATCTGGTAATTGTTTTTTGTTGTTAGGCAGAAACAAGCTTTATTTTTCTTAGGAAGATCTACCTTCATGAAATAAGTAATGTCGCCGACTCTGTAATACTTTATGGAGATGCACACCATAATGTAATTTTTCCTTTTCCTGTATATTCAAGCTTCAGCCGTTCTTCTAAACATGTAGCGATGACGAGTGTAACGTTAATATGTTCTGTGTTTATTAGACTCCTTCAGACCACGAGGCTGAGATGGGCATCAAGTCTAAGGAGGCTAGGAAATACATCTTCAATTGTCTGGATGACATGATGCAGGTAGGTATGATGCAGCTAGGTATGCTACATGATGCAGGTAGGTATGCTACATGATGCAGGTAGGTATGCTACATGATGCAGGTAGGTATGCTACATGATGCAGGTAGGTATGCTACAGGATGCAGGTAGGTATGCTACAGGATGCAGGTAGGTATGCTACAGGATGCAGGTAGGTATGCTACAGGATGCAGGTAGGTATGCTACAGGATGCAGGTAGGTATGCTACAGGATGCAGGTAGGTATGCTACAGGATGCAGGTAGGTATGCTACAGGATGCAGGTAGGTATGCTACATGATGCAGGTAGGTATGCTACATGATGCAGGTAGGTATGCTACATGATGCAGGTAGGTACAAAGTGCTTATACAGAAACCGAGCCAAACCCCCGAAGAGCAAGCAATGCAGATGTAGAAGCACAGTGGCTAGGAAAAACAGGAACGTAGGAAGAAACCTAGAGGGGAACCAGGCTCTGAGGGGTGGCCAGTCCTCTTCTGGCTGTACTGGGTAGAGGGGAACCAGGCTCTGAGGGGTGGCCAGTCCTCTTCTGGCTGTACTGGGTAGAGAGGAACCAGGCTCTGAGGGGTGGCCAGTCCTCTACTGGCTGTACTGGGTAGAGGGGAACCAGGCTCTGAGGGGTGGCCAGTCCTCTTCTGGCTGTACTGGGTAGAGGGGAACCAGGCCTTGAGGGGTGGCCAGTCCTCTTCTGGCTGTACTGGGTAGAGGGGAACCAGGCTCTGAGGGGTGGCCAGTCCTCTTCTGGCTGTACTGGGTAGAGGGGAACCAGGCTCTGAGGGGTGGCCAGTCCTCTTCTGGCTGTACTGGGTAGAGGGGAACCAGGCTCTGAGGGGTGGCCAGTCCTCTTCTGGCTGTACTGGGTAGAGGGGAACCAGGCCTTGAGGGGTGGCCAGTCCTCTACTGGCTGTACTGGGTAGAGGGGAACCAGGCTCTGAGGGGTGGCCAGTCCTCTTCTGGCTGTACTGGGTAGAGAGGAACTACTCTTAATTATTGTCCAATATGTTCAAATCAAAATGTATTAGTGACATGCTTAGTAAACAACAGGTGTAGACTAACAGTGAAACGCTTACTTTTGTTAGACATCAGTGCGGCTTTTGACACTAACGATCATAGTCTGCTGCTGGAAAAACGTATGTGTTATGGCTTTACACCCCCTGCTATATTGTGGATAAAGAGTTACCTGTCTAACAGAACACAGAAGGTGTTCTTTAATGGAAGCCTCTCCAACATAATCCAGGTAGAATCAGGAATTCCCCAGGGCAGCTGTCTAGGCCCCTTACTTTTTCAATCTTTACTAACAACATGCCACTGGCTTTGAGTCAAGCCAGTGTGTCTATGTATGTGGATGACTCAACACTATACACGTCAGCTACTACAGCAACTGAAATGACTACAACACTTAACAAAGAGCTGCAGTTAGTTTCAGAGTGGGTGGCAAGGAATAAGTTAGTCCTAAATATTTCTACAACTAAAAGCATTGAATTTGGGTCAAATAATTCACTAAACCCTAAACTTCAACTAAATCTTGTAATAAATAATATGGAAATTGAGCAAGTTGAGGAGACTAAACTGCTTGGAGTTACCCTGGATTGTAAACTGTCAGTGTCAAAGCATATTGATACAACATTAGCTAAGATTGGGAGAAGTCTGTCCATAATAAAGCGCTGCTCTACCTTCTTAACAGCACTATCAACAAGGCAGGTCCTACATGCCCTAGTTTTGTCGCACCTGGACTACTGTTCAGTTGTGTGGTCAGGTGCCACAAAAAATGACTTATTAAAATTGCAATTAGCTCAGAACAGGGCAGCACGGCTGGCCCTTGGATGTACAAAGAGAGCTAACATTAATAAAATGCATGTCAATCTCTCCTGGCTCAAAGTGGAGGAGAGATTGACTTCATCACTACTTGTATTTGTGAGAGGTATTGACATGTTGAATGCACCGAGCTGTCTGTTTGAACTACTGGCAAACAGCTCAGACACCCATGCATACCCCACAAGACATGCCACCAGAGGTCTCTTCACAGTCCCCAAGTCCAGAACAGACTATGGGAGGTGCACAGTACTACATAGAGCCATGGCTACATGGAACTCTATTCCACATCAGGTAACTGATGCAAGCAGTAGAATCAGATTTTAAGAAAAATAAACACCTATGGAACAGCGGGGACTGTGAAGCAACACAAACATAGGCACAGACACATGCATACACACACATGATAACATACGCACTATACACACACGTACACATGGATTTTGTACTGTAGATATGTGGTAGTGGTGGAGTAGGGGCCTGAGGGCACACAGTGTGTTGTGAAATCTGTGAATGTATTGTAATGTTTTTAAATTGTATGAACTGCCTTAATGTTGCTGGACCCCAGGAAGTGTAGCTGCTGCCTTGGCAGGAACTAATGGGGATCCATAATAAACCCCAGGAAGAGTAGCTGCTGCCTTGGCAGGAACTAATGGGGATCCATAATAAACTCCAGGAAGAGTAGCTGCTGCCTTGGCAGGAACTAATGGGGATCCATAATAAACCCCAGGAAGAGTAGCTGCTGCCTTGGCAGGAACTAATGGGGATCCATAATAAACCCCAGGAAGAGTAGCTGCTGCCTTGGCAGGAACTAATGGGGATCCATAATAAACTCCAGGAAGAGTAGCTGCTGCCTTGGCAGGAACTAATGGGGATCCATAATAAACCCCAGGAAGAGTAGCTGCTGCCTTGGCAGGAACTAATGGGGATCCATAATAAACCCCAGGAAGAGTAGCTGCTGCCTTGCCAGGAACTAATGGGGGATCCATAATAAATACAAATACAAAATACTTCTCAACAATCCAGAGAGAATTTTTTTTTAGAAAAATAGGTAGGGATAAAGTGACAACAGGATGGACAGTAACCACAGCGTGTGTGATAGGAAGCTCTTGATTAACTATTTAACAAACTATTTAGCAGTCTTATGACTTGGGGGTAGAAACTGTTCAGGGTCCTGTTGGTTCCAGACCTAGCGCATCGGTACCGCTTGTCATGCGGTAGCAGAGAGAACAGTTTATGACTTGGGTGGCTGGCATCTTTGACCATTTTTAGGGCCTTCCTCTGACACCACCTGGTATAGAGGTCCTGGATGTACTGGGCCGTACGCACTACCCTCTGTAGTGCCTTGCGGTCGGAGGCCGAGCAGTTGCCATACCAGGCGGTGATGCAACCAGTCAAGATGCTCTCAATGGTGCAGCTGTAGAATGTTTTGAGGATCTGAGGACCAATGCCAAATCTTTTCAGCCTCCTGAGGGGGAAGAGGCGTTGTCGTGCCCTCTTCACGACTGTGTTGGTGTGTTTGGACCATGATAGATCCTCAGTGATGTGGACACTGAAGAACTTGAAGCTCTCAACCTGCTCCACTACAGCCCCGTCGATGTGAATGGGGGCGTGCTCGGCCCTCCGTTTCCTGTAGTCCACGATCTACCAGTTCTGATGGTTGTTAAAACTGGAATTTTGACAATATTACCATTATATCAACACACTCGTCACTCATGTTTAACAACTCTAATTAACTTTGGCACAGTAGGCGTCAAGTCAATTGTCGATAATGTTGCATCCAACAATTGCATCTAACGTTTGAAAGGTCTATCATTTTCATCGAACACAAAGTTAACATAGGCCTTAGATGCCTTCAGTTGCCCAACTTCTAGGCATGGCCAATTTAGGCATCTTTTTTTAACAACGTGATGTTGCGCTCCAAAGGGATAACTTGAAATAACATGATATAGGTAATTAAATAATCAAAAGAAAAATGTGTTTATTTATTAGCCTAGTTCTAAGTATTTAGGCAAAGGCCTATCACGTGAAATCACTGTCAAAGGCGCAAGAGCTACTGTTGCATGTAGGTGTAGGTTATTTATGGATTGATCTTATAGGAATATCAAAACATTCTTTTAACAACTCCAAAGCAATTACATGTGGTGCAGGAACCACTGACTCACTGCATTTTTCTATTATCCAGACACCTGCTGGTAACTCTTAACTGGTTAGGACAGCTCATGAGGTCTGCTAAATATCTGCCGACTAGGTGGGAATCTTATGACTAAAGAGGCTTCATGCATAGCTTGTTTTTTTTTTACCCATCAGAGTAAAATGCCTCTTCTCAGCATTTACCACCAATTTCCTGCTCTGAGATGCTTTGTGGATACGGGCCCTGGTAGCAGCACGACCAGGTAGCATCACGACCAGGTAGCATCACGACCAGGTAGCAGCACGACCAGGTAGCAGCACAACCAGGTAGCATCACGACCAGGTAGCAGCACGACCAGGTAGCACCACGACCAGGTAGCACCACGACCAGGTAGCACCACGACCAGGTAGCATCACGACCAGGTAGCATCACGACCAGGTAGCATCACGACCAGGTAGCATCACGACCAGGTAGCATCACGACCAGGTAGCAGCTCGACCAGGTAGCAGCACGATCAGGTAGCAGCTCGACCAGGTAGCATCACGACCAGGTAGCTCACCCTCCCCAAGTCCTAATCTATTAGAGGGGATGAAACCCCAAAACTGACCTTAGCTCTGTCTTTAGCGGCAGCTTCACCCTTCATCCAACCTGACCACTCCATCCTGTTGCATCACTTCCTCTTCCACTTCCTGGTGCAGGTCAATCTCTCATCTCACCTGGAGGGGACGGACATGCTGGCGGAGAAAGCTGATAGGAGGGAGTTCATCGACCTGCTGAAGCGGATGCTCCGATTGGATGCTGACAAGAGGATCACGCCCACTAAGACGCTGGGTCATCCCTTCGTCACCATGAGTCACCTGCTGGACTTCCCTCACAGCTCCCAGTACGTACACCTGTCATTGTGTGTGGAAAGATGTACGTGTAGGTGTCTTAAGTGTGGGGTGTTTCTACATTTGACTTTTCCCTTTGTGGGTGAAATTTGATTGGTTTATTGATTGGTTAAATTATTTGATCGATCAATTGATTATTTGATTGTCTCTCCCCCTGCAGTGTGAAGTCTTGCTTTCAGAACATGGAGCTCTGTAAGCGTAGGAGCTCATCGTTCGACAACAACAAAACTCTCTTCTCCACGAACACTCTTCCCAGTGCTGCCACCGGCAACCTCACTGTCACCTTCAGCAACCAGCTCAGCCAGGTACATACACACTGTCACCTTCAGCAACCAGCTCAGCTAGGTACATACACACTGTCACCTTCAGCAACCAGCTCAGCCAGGTACATACACACTGTCACCTTCAACAACCAGCTCAGCCAGGTACATACACACTGTCACCTTCAGCAACCAGCTCAGCCAGGTACATACACACTGTCACCTTCAGCAACCAGCTCAGCCAGGTACATACACACTGTCACCTTCAGCAACCAGCTCAGCCAGGTACATACACACTGTAACCTTCAGCAACCAGCTTAACCAGGTACATACACACTGTAACCTTCAGCAACCAGCTCAGCCAGGTACATACACACTGTCACCTTCAGCAACCAGCTCAGCCAGGTACATACACACTGTCACCTTCAGCAACCAGCTCAGCCAGGTACATACACACTGTCACCTTCAGCAACCAGCTCAGCCAGGTACATACACACTGTCACCTTCAGCAGCCAGCTCAGCCATGTACATACACACTGTCACCTTCAGCAACCAGCTCAGCCAGGTACATACACACTGTCACCTTCAACAACCAGCTCAGCCAGGTACATACACACTGTCACCTTCAGCAACCAGCTCAGCCAGGTACATACACACTGTCACCTTCAGCAGCCAGCTCAGCCAGCTCAGCCAGGTACATACACACTGTCACCTTCAGCAACCAGCTCAGCCAGGTACATGCACACTGTCACCTTCAGCAACCAGCTCAGCCAGGTACATGCACACTGTCACCTTCAGCAACCAGCTCAGCCAGGTACATGCACACTGTCACCTTCAGCAACCAGCTCAGCCATGTACATACACACTGTCACCTTCAGCAACCAGCTCAGCCAGGTACATACACACTGTCACCTTCAGCAACCAGCTCAGCCAGGTACATACACACTGTCACCTTCAGCAACCAGCTCAGCCAGCTCAGCCAGGTACATACACACTGTCACCTTCAGCAGCCAGCTCAGCCAGGTACATACACACTGTCACCTTCAACAACCAGCTCAGCCAGGTACATACACACTGTCACCTTCAGCAGCCAGCTCAGCCATGTACATACACACTGTCACCTTCAGCAACCAGCTCAGCCAGGTACATACACACTGTCACCTTCAGCAACCAGCTCAGCCAGGTACATACACACTGTCACCTTCAGCAACCAGCTCAGCCAGGTACATACACACTGTCACCTTCAGCAGCCAGCTCAGCCAGGTACATACACACTGTCACCTTCAGCAACCAGCTCAGCCAGGTACATACACACTGTCACCTTCAGCAACCAGCTCAGCCAGGTACATACACACAGTCACCTTCAGCAGCCAGCTCAGCCAGGTACATACACACTGTCACCTTCAGCAGCCAGCTCAGCCAGGTACATACACACTGTCACCTTCAGCAACCAGCTCAGCCAGGTACATACACACTGTCACCTTCAGCAGCCAGCTCAGCCAGCTCAGCCAGGTACATACACACTGTCACCTTCAGCAACCAGCTCAGCCAGGTACATACACACTGTCACCTTCAGCAACCAGCTCAGCCAGGTACATACACACTGTCACCTTCAGCAACCAGCTCAGCCAGGTACATACACACTGTCACCTTCAGCAACCAGCTCAGCCAGCTCAGCCAGGTACATACACACTGTCACCTTCAGCAACCAGCTCAGCCAGGTACATACACACTGTCACCTTCAGCAACCAGCTCAGCCAGGTACATACACACTGTCACCTTCAGCAGCCAGCTCAGCCAGCTCAGCCAGGTACATACACACTGTCACCTTCAGCAACCAGCTCAGCCAGGTACATACACACTGTCACCTTCAGCAACCAGCTCAGCCAGGTACATGCACACTGTCACCTTCAGCAACCAGCTCAGCCAGGTACATACACACTGTCACCTTCAGCAACCAGCTCAGCCAGCTCAGCCAGGTACATACACACTGTCACCTTCAGCAACCAGCTCAGCCAGGTACATACACACTGTCACCTTCAGCAACCAGCTCAGCCAGGTACATACACACTGTCACCTTCAGCAACCAGCTCAGCCAGGTAAATACACACTGTCACCTTCAGCAACCAGCTCAGCCAGGTACACACACACTGTCACCTTCAGCAACCAGCTCAGCCAGGTACATACACACTGTCACCTTCAGCAACCAGCTCAGCCATGTACATACACACTGTCACCTTCAGCAACCAGCTCAGCCAGGTACACACTCACACACACATACAAGTTAAGGCCAGTGTATACTTTCAGCGACGTCATACAGTTGAAGTCTAATTGAGGATGAAAATGTCTTTGGCAACACAAAGTAGCAGTTACAGTTCCAGACCCTGTTCCAACCAATAAGATCAGAGAACTACAGACTTGTTATATAGGTTACGTAATAAAGTAGGATTCCTGCTCATGTCCGTAATAAAGTAGGATTCCTGCTCATGTCCGTAATAAAGTAGGATTCCTGCTCATGTCCGTAATAAAGTAGGATTCCTGCTCATGTCCGTAATGAAGTAGGATTCCTGCTCATGTCCGTAATAAAGTAGGATTCCTGCTCATGCACGTAAAAAAGTAGGATTCCTGCTCATGCACGTAATAAAGTAGGATTCCTGCTCATGCTCGTAATAAAGTAGGATTCCTGCTCATGTCCGTAATGAAGTAGGATTCCTGCTCATGCACGTAATAAAGTAGAAGTTTCCCATTTTGTTCATCTATAAACAGTCAATAGACATGAAATCATAAAATAATACTAAAAATATGTAGGCATCACTGAATACTTCATAATAACAACCCAAAATGCTAATTTAGGTGGAATTGCCCTTTAAACAGAACAGAACAGAATTGTATTGGATAACTATGAACTTCCAACTGAGTGTGACCAGTATTCTAACCATAACTGGACTGTACCATCAGGTGCCGTCAGCCGGGGGAGCTGTTCCTCTCCTGAACTACCAGCCAGCCCTGTACCAGCAGGCCACTATCAACATCCCTGGGCTGGCCCAACAGAGTGTCCCCCTGCAGGCTCGCCCCACAGGCCTGGCCTGCCAGACTGAGCCCTTCCAGCAGACGCTCTTCGTCTGCCCACCAAACACCATACAGGGTAAAACAGGAATACTTTGGGACGGTTTCCGAGACACAGATTAAGCCTGGTCCTGTCCTGAAAAGCATGCTCAATGGAGATTCCCCCTTTTTAGACCAGCACTGTTACCAGGGTCAGGCTAATTTGAGTTTCTAAGGAAATTGCATGGTTCAGTGTAATAACACCGTAATTACCTAATGAATGACGTTGTATTTTTGATGGGAGGGAGTAACATTATTGTGGTGTAGAGGTTGACACGGGAGTGAAAATCCATTCCTGTCCCGCCTTTTTCCCGTGCTGTCCAGATCCTAAAAACAGTTCTGTAACCCCAGAACTTTCCTGTCCCGTCCTGATAAAAATCCTCTGCCGTCCCATGCCGTGCTCATTATTACGTTCAGAAATCTGAAAATAACTTCCTCTGTTAGCTGCTCGTCTGTCTGTTCCCCGCTGTGCGCGTGGGTAGCCATAGCAACTGCCTCCGATTTGGATGCTGCTCAGCGCTCACCAGACACCAGCCTGCCCTGCTGATAACAACCACAATATCAGATTTGGGCAGTGAAGGCAGCCCTTCTACTTACCCAGAGTCTGATGAAGTCAATTCCTCTCTTGAAAGCTTCATCATTCACTGACATACACTACCAGTCAAAAGTTTGGACACACCTACCCATTCAAGGGTTTTTCTTTATTTTTACTATTTTCTACATTGTAGAATAATAGTGAAGACATCAAAACTATCACATAACACATATGGAATCATGTAGTAACCAAAAAAGTGTTAAACAAATCAAAATATAGTTTATATTTAGATTCTTCAAATAGCCACCCTTTACCTTGATGACAGCTTTGCACACTCTTGGCATTCTCTCAACCAGCTTCATGAGGTAGTCACCTGGAATGCATTTCAATTAACAGGTGTGCCTTGTTAAAAGTTAATTTGTGGAATTTCTTTACTTCTTAATGCGTTTGAGCCAATCAGCTGTGTTGTGACAAGGTAGGGGGGTATACAGAAGATAGCTCTATTTAGTTAAAGACCAAGTCCATATTACGGCAAGAACAGCTCAAATAAGCAAAGAGAAACGACAGTCCATCATTACTTTATGACATGAAGGTCAGTCAATACGGAACATTTCAAGAACTTTGAAAGTTTCTTCAAGTGCAGTCGCAAAAACCATCAAGCGCTATGATGAAACTGGCTCTCATGAGGACCGCCACAGGAATGGAAGACCCAGAGTTACCTCTGCTGCAGAGGATAATTTCATTAGAGTTACCAGCCTCAGAAATTGCAGCCCAAATAGATGCTTCACAGAGTTCAATAATAATAATAATAATAATATGCCATTTAGCAGACGCTTTTATCCAAAGCGACTTACAGTCATGTGTGCATACATTTTTACGTATTGGTGGTCCCGGGGATCGAACCCACTACCCTGGCGTTACAAGCGCCATGCTCTACCAATTGAGCTACAGAGGACCACATTCAAGTAACAGACACATCTCAACATCAACTGTTCAGAGGAGACTACGTGAATCAGGCCTTCATGGTCGAATTGCTGCAAAGAAACCACTACTAAAGGACACCAATAAGAAGAAGAGACCTGCTTGGGCCAAGAAACATGAGCACAAGGACATTAGACTGGTGGAAATGTGTCCTTTGGTCTGGAGTCCAAATTGGAGATTTTTGGTTCCAGGCGCCGTGTCTTTGTGAGACGCGGTGTGGGTGAATGGATGATCTCATGTGTATTTCCCACCGTAAAGCATGGAGGAGGAGGTGTTATGGTGTGGGGGGTGCTTTGCTGGTGACACTGTCTGTGATTTATTTAGAATTCTAAGCACACTTAACCAGCATGGCTACCACAGCATTCTGCAGCGATACGCCATCCCATCTGTTTTGGGCTTTGTGGGACTATCATTTGTTTTTCAACAGGACAATGACCCAACACACCTCCAGGCTGTGTAAGGGCTATTTTACCAAGAAGGAGAGTGATGGAGTGCTGCATCAGATGACCTGGCCTCCACAATCCCCCGACCTCAACCCAATTGAGATGGTTTGGGATGAGTCGGACGGCAGAGTGAAGGAAAAGCAGCCAACAAGTGCTCAGCATATGTGGGAACTCCTTCGACTGTTGGAAAAGCATTCCAGGTGAAGCTGGTTGAGAGAATGCCAAGAGTGTGCAAAAGCTCTCATCAAGGGTGGCTATTTGAAGAATCTCAAATATAAAATATATTTAGATTTGTTTAACACTTTTTTGGTTACTACATGATTCCATATGTGTTATTTCATAGTGTTGATGTCTTCACTATTATTCTACAATGTAGAAAATAGTAAACATAAAGAAATACACTGGAATGAGTAGGTGTGTCCAAACGTTTGACTGGTACTGTATATGAGCCAATTCAGCAATTAGGATTTGTTATCTATAATGGTTATGATAAATTAGGTCATTATTGTGCACTGTTGGCATATAGATAAAGCGCACATATTTTTTTCCAGTGCGGGCCTTGTGTTCAAAAATACCAAAAATATAATTCTGAGTACTCAAAAAATAAATCATGCGAGTACTCAAACAGTCAAGGATGTCAAATGCCTATCCCTACTATATAGAATGGTCTCCAGCTTATCATGGGGTATTCTAACTCAGGCGAGCAAAAACTTAAGACTTCCTTCATATTAGAGATTGCGCACCAGCTGTTGTTAACAAAGAGACCCACCCCTCCCCCCTCATCTTACCTGAGGCTGCCCTCCAGTCATAGAAAAACCAGCCAGATGTATATTATCTATGTCCTTGGTCAGCCACGACTCTGAGAAACAGGATATTACAGTTCATCAGGTCCCGTTGATAGGATAGTCTGGAACGGAGCTCGTCCAGTTAGTTCTCTAGTGACTGGACGTTCGCCAACAGAACGGAGGGTAGAGGCGGTTTATTTGCTCGCCAACGTAGTCTCGTCAGCATGCTGCCTCGCCTGCAATCGTTTGCCGTCGCTTCCTCTTTCGAGTCCCGGGGATCAAGGCCTGGTCCGGAGTAAGCAGAACGTCCATCCCGGGGATCAAGGCCTGGTCCGGAGTAAGCAGAACGTCCATCCCGGGGATCAAGGCCTGGTCCGGAGTAAGCAGAACGTCCATCCCGGGGATCAAGGCCTGGTCCGGAGTAAGCAGAACGTCCAGAGCTGCTGACTCATTGAAGTAGACATTTTGTCATCCAAATTGATTGGTTAGTGGTCGCTGTTCTGATCTGCAGAAGCTGTTTTCGGTCAAAATGAGGAAATGATGGCGGAGACATCATGTAAAAAGTTAAGAACAGCGTAAAAAAAGTAGCAGAATCGGTAGAGGGACTCCTCTTTCTCTGAGTGTTTTGGTAGAACCAGGGATTTTTCTGCCTTTTAAATCCTTGAGTTTTATCGGGCCACCTAAGTCCAAACAGTGTAAATAATTTGTATCTCTTTAAAATGCAAATCAATTTATAACATTTTTGACATGCGTTTTTCTGGATTTTTGTTGTTGTTATTCTGTCTCTCACTGTTCAAATAAACCTACCATTAAAATTATAGACTGATCATGTCTTTGTCAGTGGGCAAACGTACAAAATCAGCAGGGGATCAAATACTTTTTTCCCCTCACTGTAGTTTATAACAGGAATAGTTTATAACTATTCCTGTACTGCTCGTTCCTGTGGACTGCCAATCCCATCTGGTCCTGTCCCAGGCTGGATTCTAGAACGTCACTCCCATTCCTGTTGCTGTGTCAACCTCTATTGTGTTGGTGGTTACTGATTGGCTGTTCCTCTGTCTGCAGGGCTCCAATCCTCCAATAAGAGCTCTGGATTCCCAGGGAGGATAGACAGTTCAGTCCCCATAGTGACCCAGAACCAATCAACACAGCCACTGCAGCTGCAGCCTGCCATGCTCACACAGGTACGAGTGTGTGTGCGTGTGTGTGCGTGTGTGTGTGTGTGTGTGTGTGTGTGTGTGTGTGCGTAACAAAATGAACATTTCTGTGTTGTATTTTCTGTGTTGTAGGTTGGCTTTATCGTCTTTGTGTGTAAGTGAATGTGTTCTCATTCCTGCCCGGTCTGGCTTCCGGCTGGGTCTCAAACTCGAGCCCCAGTGGCTCAGAACAGAATACCTTTTGAGAGTTGAGGGCTTTCCAGACAGGAAGCAAGGGGGCGGAGCTAGCCGTAATAGAGCAGATTTTGTCAGATCGCTCCGCTTGGATAGAATTCAGTTTCTCCCAGACCTCTGTCAGACCTCTCAGCCATGGATCAGCCAGTTTCTCCACTCCCAGACCTCTGTCAGACCTCTCAGCCATGGATCAGCCAGTTTCTCCACTCCCAGACCTCTGTCAGACCTCTCAGCCATGGATCAGCCAGTTTCTCCACTCCCAGACCTCTGTCAGACCTCTCAGCCATGGATCAGCCAGTTTCTCCACTCCCAGACCTCTGTCAGACCTCTCGGCCATGGATCAGCCAGTGGCTTATCATCTTTACCTTGACAACCCAGATCTATCAATCTAACCTCAATCAGTCCACAGTCAACCCACAACCCTGATCGATCTATAGACTAACCTTGGTGTCCTCAATCAGTCCACACACAGTCCACTTCTCTAAAGGAATTAGTATTTGCCACTGAGAGAAGGTATTCAGCCATGAAGTGAGTCTGGACCTTCTGAGTTAACCGTCCTCCTCCTCCACCCTTTGCTGCCCCATCCCCTCCTCCCTACACCCTCCACCTCCCTCCCCCAGGGCTCCTGCACACCCCTGATGGTGGCCACCCTCCACCCCCACCCCCCCACGGTAACAGGCGTAGCCCCCCAGTACTCAGTTCCACTACCTCCTTTCCCATCTCCTACCCTCCTCCTTTCCCTAGATACCTCCTTTCCCATCTCCTACCCTCCTACTTTCCCTAGATACCTCCTTTCCCATCTCCTACCCTCCTTCTTTCCCTAGCTACCACCTTTCCCATCTCCTACTCATTTAGCAGACGCTCTTATCCAGAGCGACTTACAGGAGCAATTAGGGTTAAGTGCCTTGCTCAAGGGCACATTGACAGATATTTCACCTAGTCGGCTCGGGGATTAGAACCAGCGACCTTTCGGTTACTGGCACAACGCTCTTAACCACTAAGCTACCTGCCGCCCTCCTCCTTTCCCTAGCTACCTCCTTTCCCATCTCCTACCCTCCTTCTTCCCTAGCTACCTCCTTTCCCATCTCCTACCCTCCTTCTTCCCTAGCTACCTCCTTTCCCATCTCCTACCCTCCTTCTTCCCTAGCTACCTCCTTTCCCATCTCCTACCCTCCTTCTTCCCTAGCTACCTCCTTTCCCATCTCCTACCCTCCTCCTTTCCCATCTCCTACCCTCCTTCTTCCCTAGCTACCTCCTTTCCCATCTCCTACCCTCCTTCTTCCCTAGCTACCTCCTTTCCCATCTCCTACCCTCCTTCTTCCCTAGCTACCTCCTTTCCCATCTCCTACCCTCCTCCTTTCCCTAGCTACCCCCTTTCCCATCTCCTACCCTCCTCCTTTCCCTAGCTACCCTCCTTTCCCATCTCCTACCCTCCTTCTTTCCCTAGCTACCTCCTTTCCCATCTCCTACCCTCCTCCTTTCCCTAGCTACCTCCTTTCCCATCTCCTACCCTCCTTCTTCCCTAGCTACCTCCTTTCCCATCTCCTACCCTCCTTCTTCCCTAGCTACCTCCTTTCCCATCTCCTACCCTCCTTCTTTCCCATCTCCTACCCTCCTTCTTCCCTAGCTACCTCCTTTCCCATCTCCTACCCTCCTTCTTCCCTAGCTACCTCCTTTCCCATCTCCTACCCTCCTTCTTTCCCTAGCTACCTCCTTTCCCATCTCCTACCCTCCTTCTTCCCTAGCTACCTCCTTTCCCATCTCCTACCTTCCCTCCCTCTGTACGGCGGATTCAGTCTTTTACGGTTATCACGTCACACTGTACGATTTTACCCGGGGGGGGGGGGGGGGGGGGGGGGGGGGGGGGGTTCTACTAAGCTATATGGAATTGTTTTAATAAGGTCATACCAAGGATCATTTTGCTATTTGGTTTTGAATTTAAAGACCCCTTCAAGTATAAAAAATGAATACATTATTTGATGAACATTAACCGATAGTCCCCCCCAAAATGACAAAGTACGTTTGTTCTGATTTCTCTAGCTTAAACTTTATGGGGATTATTTATTATGCTAATTAGATTTCCGCTGGGGGGTGAGGTCATCTATCTTAGGGGGTTAAAATCTTGATGCCAGATTGTACGATATGCTTCAGTTCTGTCGTCACATCCTACGATTGGCTTGAGAGGCTACTTCAGTTCCAGCGGTGTGATTAGGACCTGTAAACGGCTTAATCGGCGTTCCAGCGGTGTGATTAGGACCTGTAAACGGCTTAATCGGCGTTCCAGCGGTGTGATTAGGACCTGTAAACGGCTTAATCGGCGTTCCAGCGGTGTGATTAGGACCTGTAAACGGCTTAATCGGCGTTCCAGCGCTGTGATTAGGACCTGTAAACGGCTTAATCGGCGTTCCAGCGGTGTGATTAGGACCTGTAAACGGCTTAATCGGCGTTCCAGCGCTGTGATTAGGACCTGTAAACGGCTTAATCGGCGTTCCAGCGGTGTGATTAGGACCTGTAAACGGCTTAATCGGCGTTCCAGCGCTGTGATTAGGACCTGTAAACGGCTTAATCGGCGTTCCAGCGGTGTGATTAGGACCTGTAAACGGCTTAATCGGCGTTCCAGCGCTGTGATTAGGACCTGTAAACGGCTTAATCGGCGTTCCAGCGGTGTGATTAGGACCTGTAAACGGCTTAATCGGCGTTCCAGCGGTGTGATTAGGACCTGTAAACGGCTTAATCGGCGTTCCAGCGGTGTGATTTGGACCTGTAAACGGCTTAATCGGCGTTCCAGCGGTGTGATTAGGACCTGTAAACGGCTTAATCGGCGTTCCAGCGGTGTGATTAGGACCTGTAAACGGCTTAATCGGCGTTCCAGCGGTGTGATTAGGACCTGTAAACGGCTTAATCGGCGTTCCAGCTGTGTGTTTGATCTGCACATGCGGCAGCACCAGCAGCGCAAGCCTCCCTCTTATGCGCGACTGAAGTGAGTTCGGGAAAAACTGAAAGTATGCATCTTAGAAATAGCTTTCGCATACAAACTTTGTGTCTGAACTCAGAATCAAATAGGCTTCCCCAAAATAACATGGTCGCTGTGGGAGAATGTTTGTTTATTTTGATTGGCGATTTTGTGCATTTATCAAAATCCCATCAGGTAGCCTGATTTCTGATGTGTGTAGCCTAAACAAGATTATTAGGGAAATCGTTCTTCGTGCAAACCACTACACGATAAAGGCAAAACAATTCTGACACTGCCAGAAACTTTGTCGTAGCCTACGACTGTACTTAGCGTTACTTAATCGGCAGACCTAGACCCTGTCACACTAAACGAGCCAAGACGTCTGACAATTGTTTACCACCTAAGATTTGGCCACAACGTGGACATTTTGTCTGGGAACGGCAAAATGGTGGCATAAGACGGTTAAAATGGTACAGTCTACAAAGACCTTTCCCTCCATTAGGAGACACAGTAGAGATACCCTTCTTTAACAGCTTGACCCATTCCCCTCTCATTTGTTTCAGCCTGAAATAATGGCATGACTGTTTTTGTTGGAGAGCTAGTCTGCACTGCAGCCATCTGTCTGTCTGTCTGTCTGTCTGTCTCTGTCTGTCTGTCTCTGTCTGTCTCTGTCTGTCTGTCTGTCTCTGTCTGTCTGTCTGTCTGTCTCTGTCTCTGTCTGTCTGTCTGTCTGTCTGTCTGTCTGTCTGTCTGTCTCTGTCTGTCTCTGTCTGTCTGTCTCTGTCTGTCTGTCTGTCTGTCTGTATCTGTCTGTCTGTCTGTGTCTGTCTGTCTGTCTGTCTCTGTCTGTCTGTCTCTGTCTGTCTTGTTTTCCTTAACATGGTTTTACGCTACATATTCCCTTGCTAACCTCATCCTAACCTCATCTGAGCAGTGTAAATGGTCAGTCCTGCTCAAGGTTTTGTGGATAATATAAGTGTCTTCATTAAGCACTGCGAGGGTGTGATTAGAAGGAGAAAATGCTTCCCACTGTCTTGATCTGGTTTGCCTTTTTTTTCTTCCTGTGCATTACTGAACACTGTGCATGACATGTAGGTCAGGGAGTGGCTTCAGATGAGACTTTTAATGCACCTCTTTTTGGGGTTTGTTTTTCTGTGCTTTAGTTGACCTTGTCTAGGGAGGAGTAGGCCCGTCTGTCTGTCCAAGCAGAGTTTCTAAGCATGGCTCAGTACTTGAAGCCTGGATGACCTCCTGACCTGTTCCTGTATGACATCACCAGCTCCAGCTTCACCCATTGGCTCCTTTGGATAATGTCGTTCTACCAACCAGCTGCTCTCATCATGGATGAATTGCTAACTGGTGTGTGTTCTCTGTAGCAGGCCTGGCCAGCCGGCACCCAGCAGATCCTGATCCCGTCGTCATGGCAGCAGGTTCCGGGTGTGGCCATCCACGGCTCCACCCACCAGTCGGTTGTCACGGAGTCTCCCTTGGAGACACTCCTTCCGGACACAGCCCAGCAGACACACAGCTGGAGGTAGGGTTATCACCATGGTTACATGGCTTTCTGGTCTGTTAGCATAGATCTCTTTATATAAAATAACAGAAGTCAAGAGTCCATCAGAAAACTATTCTTACCCCCAGATAACTTCACAGGATAACTATCCCAGAAAAAGAGAAGCAGACCTGGGTTTCTGAAAAATGGATTCAAATACTTTATCTGTGCCTGTTTGAGCTTGCCTGGCTTAATAAACAAATAGAAATGTCCCCAAACTGCAAATCCCGCCCATGTGGCACTCCAGGCAGACTCAAGCAAACTCAAAGTATTTTAATAAAATGTTCAAGTATTCGAAGGTCTGAAGAAAATCAGGTGTACTCTGGTGTATGTGTGTGTGTGTGTGTGTGTGTGTGTGTGTGTGTGTGTGTGTGTGTGTGTGTGTGTGTGTGTGTGTAGGGGATCTCAGTACAGCGGAGTGCTGCAGCAGAACCTGGGGGTTAATTCGAGGAGCGGAGCAGGGAAGAGGGCTAAGGGTGGCCGTGGCAACAGCAGAACCACCAGGTATGACTGAAACAGGACAAATTGGACGGACGGTGGCACAACAACTAGTTACAGGGATCAACTATACTGAACAAAAATATAAACGCAACATGCAACAATTTCAACAATTTTACTGAGTTACAGTTCATATGAGGAAATCAGTCAATTTAAATAAATTAATTAGGCCCTAATCTATAGATTTCACATGACTGGGCAGGGACGCAGCCATGAGTGGGCATCGGCCCACCCACTGGGGAGCCAGGCCCAGCCAATCAGAATCAGTTTTTTTTTTCCCACAAAAAGGGCTTTATTTCAGACAGAAATACTAGTTTCATCAGCTGTCCGGGTGGCTGGTCTCAGACGATCCCGCAGTTGAAGATGCCAGATGTGGAGGTCCTGGGCTGGCGCGGTTACACGTGGTCTGGGGAGGTCCTGGGCTGGCGTGGTTACACGTGGTCTGGGGAGGTCCTGGGCTGGCGTGGTTACACGTGGTCTGGGGAGGTCCTGGGCTGGCGTGGTTACACGTGGTCTGCGGAGGTCCTGGGCTGGCGTGGTTACACGTGGCCTGCGGTTGTGAGGCCAGTTGGACGTACTGCTTAAAACGATGTTGGGAGGCAGCTTATGTTAGAGAAATGAACATTACTTTCTCTGGCAACAACTCTGGTGGACATTCATGCAGTCAGCATGCCAATTGCACCCTCCCTCAAAACTTTAGACATCTGTGGCATTGTGTGACAAAACTGCACATTTTAGAGTGGCCTTTTATTGTCCCCGGCACAAGCTCACTAACAGGGATGTAAAACAAAATGTGTGCTCAACATTCGAGAGAAATAAGCTTTTTGTGAGTATTGAACATTTCTGGGATGTTTTATTTCAGCTCATGAAACATGGGACCCACACCTTACATGTTGCGTTTATATTTTTTGTTCAGTGTGGTAGCTGGTTAGGCCCATCAACTAGTAACATCTAATAACGAATAACAGCTGGAAAAGTTAGGTTTTCAGGGGCTCCACAAAAATGTTTTCGACCTTGCTCTGCATGGAAATCAGGAATAGTAAAGGTGTGTAACTAAGTTTGTTTTCTTTGCGCGTGTGTGTGTGTGTTTGTGTGTGTGTGTGTTTGTCCAGGGGTGTGTCTGGTGCATCCCTGCTCACCAACGCCGTGCTGACTCCGCCCATCTGCACCGCGGCGGCGTCTCTCTCTCAGCCAATCATCATCTCGGACACGCCCAGCCCGGCGGTCAGCGTCATCACCATCCATAGCGACTCAGACGATGAGGATGAGGGGAAGTTCCTCCCCTCCAGGTGCCCCGTCCAATCACAAACAACTGTAACAGTTTGGCCCCGCTTTATGTGGATAGTTCCTAATAAAGGATCTGTAGATGCTCAAACTATCAACTAACTCATCTGTTGAGATGCAACATCTTGACCGTTACTTGACTTCAACCCTTTTAGTCTGTGAGGAGCGTAGGTCATCCACAAATGTAAAGGGCTTTTAACCCTCTAGAGTTGAAGATACCAAGGATAATTTAGCGATTCGATTTGGAGTTTTAGGACTTCTTAAGGTATATATATTTTTAAAAAAAAATGAATTTGGCCTTACTGCTATTAGCCCATAGAAATGCATTGAATAACATTTTACATTTTTACATTTTAGTCATATAGCAGACGCTCTTATCCAGAGCGACTTACAGTTAGTGAATACATTTTCATACTGGCCCCCCGTGGGAATCGAACCCACAACCCTGGCGTTGCAAACACCATTCTCTACCAACTGAGCTACACAGGACTAAAAATAACAGCTTCATACATGGATAAAACAGATAGTTTAGTTCTGAAGTGTCTGTCCTATAACTGAGAGATATAAGAAATATCAGAAAACCACATTTTTGTTGACGTATTTAAAGCTGAACGTATGAAACCCATTAGACACTGTTGATATGAACGGACGAGGAATTGATGATCCTATCCACCACCAATACATCTACCATCTGTATTTCTTTCTTGTCAGTATCTACTGTATGTCTAATGTGTGTGTGTGTGTTTGTGAACCAGCTGTGGTCCGGCTCAGAGGACTAACGTGATCAGCTGTGTGACGGTTCACGACTCGGACTCCTCTACGGCCAGCCCCCTCACCCCCCTCCCCCTCCCCCTCCCCCGCACACACCTCCCTGGGGGAGGGACGTCTAGAGGCAAGTCCCTGGCCGTGGTCGCACCGTCTGTAAAGACCCAACCAACTGAGACAGGTGACAGGGCTCACGCATACACGTCGAATACACACACACACACACACACACACACACACACACACACACACACACAAATACAGAAAAAACGTTTTTAAACCAGTTTGAGTGTGATAATTTGATTATTATTATTATTTGTACCAGTGTGTATTATACTCATGTGTGAATTGGAAATGGGTTATTTGCATATACCAACTCCCCTCGTAGAGTGGGGTCACAGCCAGGGTCAGCCATTATCAACGGCAATCATGGAGCAATTATGGTTAAGTGCCTTGCTCAAGGGCACATCGACTGATTTTCACCATGTCGGCTCAGGGTTTCGAACTAGCGACCTTTCAGTTACTGACCCTCCTTCTTCCTGATTGGTTTCCAGTGCAACACCAGAGTTCCTACATCAAGCCCAAGCTGGCCAATCGACATCCCTGTAGCTCTGGAGACGGCAGCAACCGCCATAGGCTAGTCCCCAGCCAATCACATCCCCTCAACCTCAGCCAGGTGAGTCAGCAGCCAATAGCATCCTCTCTTACTAGTGAGTATTTCACATTGCATGTAGGGCCCAATAAAATCTGCGTTGCTGAGTCGAGTGCAGTGGTTAGCCTCTTCATCATCAACAACAAATGGTGTGCTTACTTGGGCGCAGTGGGAGTACCAACCCATTGTTCACCCGTCTCGGAATACCTGATGGTCAGATGCCGACCCTTCCACCTCCTGAGGGAGTTTACAGCTGTTAGCGTGACTGTTGTAGACATTCCACCTCAGGACAATAAAAATAACAAGATGGTGCCTAATGAGCTGTTACGAGGCTATAAAGAAGCAGGAAAACGTGCATCCATGGGGCTGCTTTGCTAGAGCTGACTGGGATATGTTTCGAGACTCCACCGATAACGTCGACGAGCTAACCACCTCCGTCACCGGCTTCGTTAGGAAATGCATCGGGCGACGTTGTCACCACAGTTGAAGGTTCACTGCTTCCCCAATCAAAAGCCCTGGATTAACACTGACTAATCTAAAAGGACAGGGCTTCCACACACAGGGCTATCACAGACAACCCTGAGGCTACGGCTGAGGACAGGAACACGTACAGGAAGTCCCGCTACGCTACGGCTGAGGACAGGAACACGTACAGGAAGTCCCGCTACGCTACGGCTGAGGACAGGAACACGTACAGGAAGTCCCGCTACGCTACGGCTGAGGACAGGAACACGTACAGGAAGTCCCCCTACGCTACGGCTGAGGACAGGAACACGTACAGGAAGTCCCCCTACGCTACCGCTGAGGACAGGAACACGTACAGGAAGTCCCCCTACGCTACGGCTGAGGACAGGAACACGTACAGGAAGTCCCCCTACGCTACCGCTGAGGACAGGAACACGTACAGGAAGTCCCCCTACGACCTCCGCAGAGTCATCAAACGAGCAAAAGGGCAATATAGGAACAAGGTGGAATCATATTATACAGGCTCCGATGCCCGCCACCTGTGGCAGGGGCTATAGTCCATTACAGATTACAAAGGAAGACCGGGCCGTGATCTGCCCAACGATGCCTCTCTACCAGACAGTATTACACAGACTCCCACATTACGGATTACAGAGGAAGACCGGGCCGTGATCTGCCCAACGATGCCTCTCTACCAGACAGTATTACACAGACTCCCACATTACGGATTACAGAGGAAGACCCAGCCGTGATCTGCCCAACGATGCCTCTCTACCAGACAGTATTACACAGACTCCCACATTACGGATTACAGAGGAAGACCGGGCCGTGATCTGCCCAACGACGCCTCTCTACCAGACAGTATTACACAGACTCCCACATTACGGATTACAGAGGAAGACCGGGCCGTGATCTGCCCAACGACGCCTCTCTACCAGACAGTATTACACAGACTCCCACATTACGGATTACAGAGGAAGACCCGGCCGTGATCTGCCCAACGATGCCTCTCTACCAGACAGTATTACACAGACTCCCACATTACGGATTACAAAGGAAGACCCAGCCGTGATCTGCCCAACGATGCCTCTCTACCAGACAGTATTACACAGACTCCCACATTACGGATTACAGAGGAAGACCCGGCCGTGATCTGCCCAACGACGCCTCTCTACCAGACAGTATTACACAGACTCCCACATTACGGATTACAAAGGAAGACCCAGCCGTGATCTGCCCAACGACGCCTCTCTACCAGACAGTATTACACAGACTCCCACATTACGGATTACAGAGGAAGACCCAGCCGTGATCTGCCCAACGATGCCTCTCTACCAGACAGTATTACACAGACTCCCACATTACGGATTACAGAGGAAGACCGGGCCGTGATCTGCCCAACGACGCCTCTCTACCAGACAGTATTACACAGACTCCCACATTACGGATTACAGAGGAAGACCGGGCCGTGATCTGCCCAACGATGCCTCTCTACCAGACAGTATTACACAGACTCCCACATTACGGATTACAGAGGAAGACCCGGCCGTGATCTGCCCAACGATGCCTCTCTACCAGACAGTATTACACAGACTCCCACATTACGGATTACAGAGGAAGACCTGGCCGTGATCTGCCCAACGACGCCTCTCTACCAGACAGTATTACACAGACTCCCACATTACGGATTACAGAGGAAGACCGGGCCGTGATCTGCCCAACGATGCCTCTCTACCAGACAGTATTACACAGACTCCCACATTACGGATTACAGAGGAAGACCTGGCCGTGATCTGCCCAACGACGCCTCTCTACCAGACAGTATTACACAGACTCCCACATTACGGATTACAGAGGAAGACCGGGCCGTGATCTGCCCAACGACGCCTCTCTACCAGACAGTATTACACAGACTCCCACATTACGGATTACAGAGGAAGACCCGGCCGTGATCTGCCCAACGACGCCTCTCTACCAGACAGTATTACACAGACTCCCACATTACGGATTACAGAGGAAGACCCGGCCGTGATCTGCCCAACGATGCCTCTCTACCAGACAGTATTACACAGACTCCCACATTACGGATTACAGAGGAAGACCCAGCCGTGATCTGCCCAACGATGCCTCTCTACCAGACAGTATTACACAGACTCCCACATTACGGATTACAGAGGAAGACCCAGCCGTGATCTGCCCAACGATGCCTCTCTACCAGACAGTATTACACAGACTCCCACATTACGGATTACAGAGGAAGACCCGGCCGTGATCTGCCCAACGATGCCTCTCTACCAGACAGTATTACACAGACTCCCACATTACGGATTACAGAGGAAGACCCGGCCGTGATCTGCCCAACGATGCCTCTCTACCAGACAGTATTACACAGACTCCCACATTACGGATTACAGAGGAAGACCCGGCCGTGATCTGCCCAACGATGCCTCTCTACCAGAGGAACTCAATGCATATTATGCACACTTGGACAAGAACAACATCGTGCTGGGTGTGAGGGCCAGAAGATTGGGTGATTTTTGCTCTCCGAGGCCGACGTGAGTACGGTCTTTATCAGCTCAACACTTGGCCAAGGGGCCGGATGGTATTCCAGGGCGCGTTCTCAGAGCATGTGCAGAACAGCTGGCAGGCATATTCAAGGTCATTTTCAACCTCTCCTTGTCCCAGTCTTAAATTGATTACCATCATTCCTGTTACAATGAACTCTAAGGCTTCATACCACAATGACTACCGCCCTGTAGCACTCACATCTGTAATCATGAAGTGCTTTGAAAGGCTGGTTATGGCACACATTAACTCCATCATCCTAGACACCCTAGACCCACTCCAATTTGCATACCGCCCCAACAGATCCATAGACGAATCAATCTCAATTGCACTCCACACTGCCCTCAACCACCTAGATAAGAGGAATAACTATGTGAGAATGCTGTTCATTGACTACAGCTCAGCGTTCAACACCATCGTCCCCTCCAAGCTCGTCACCAAGCTTGGGACCCTGGGACTGAACAGCTCCCTCTGCAACTGGATCCTGGGCTTCCTGACGGGCCGACTCCAGGTGGTGAGCTTAGGCAACATCACCTCAGCCACGATGACCCTCAACACCGGGGGGCCCCTCAGGGATGTGTGCTTAGTCCCCTTCTGTACTCCCTGTTCACCCACGACTGCGTGGCCTCGCATGAATCCAACACCATCATCAAGTTTACTGACGACACAATGGTGGTAGGCCTGATCACCAGCGCAGACGAGACAGCCTACAGGGAGGAGGTCAGTGACCTGGCAGTGTGGTGCCGTAGCAACGACCTTCAGCGTCAGTAAGACCAAGGAGCTGATCGCGACGGTACCGGTGCATCAAGTCTGACACCAACAGCGCCTCTTCCCCCTCAGAATATTGAAAAGGTTTGGCATGGGGCCCTCAACTACTCAAACAGTTCTACAGCTGCACCGTTGAGAGCATCTTGACTGGTTGCACCACCACTTGGTACGGCAACAGCACCGCCCTCCAACGCATGGTGCTACAGAGGGTGGTGTGGACAGCCCAGTACATCACTGGGGCCGAGCTCCCTGCCATCCAGGACCTCTATACCAGGCGGTGTGGAAGGAAGGCCCGGAAAATCGTTAGACTCCAGCCACCCAAGCCATAGACTGTTCTCTCTGCTTCCGCACGGCAGGCGGTACCGGTGCATCAAGTCTGACACCAACAGGCCCCTGAACAGCTTCTATCCCCAAGCCATAAGACTGCTGAATAGCTAACAGAATGGCTACACAGACTATCTGAGTTAACCTTGTATTTTTTATTTTCTCTATGCACACTCACAGGGCCCTACACACTCATATCTACCTGGATCCCTATACATATCTACCTCTATCACTCCAGTATCCCTGCACATTGTTAATATGGTATAGAACTGACCCTGTATATAGTCACCTGACCCCTATACATATCTACCTCCATCACTCCAGTATCCCTGCACATTGTTAATATGGTATAGAACTGACCCTGTATATAGTCACCTGACCCCTATACATATCTACCTCCATCACTCCAGTATCCCTGCACATTGTAAATATGGTATTGGTACTGACCCTGTATATAGTCACCTTACCCCTATACATATCTACCTCCATCACTCCAGTATCCCTGCACATTGTTGATATGGTAATTAACTGACCCTGTATATAATCACATTACCCCTATACATATCTAATTTACCTCCATCACGTTGTTAATATGGTACTGGAACTGACCCTGTATATACACTACCGGTCAAAAGTTTGGACACACCTACCCATTCAAGGGTTTTTCTTTATTTTTACATTGTAGAATAATAGTGAAGACATCAGAACTATGAAATAACACATATGGAATCATGTAGTAAACAAAAAAGTGTTAAACAAATCAAAATATATTTTATATTTGAGATTCTTCAAATAGCCACCCTTTGCCTTGATGACAGCTTTGCACACTCTTGGCATTCTCTAAACCAGCTTCATGTGCTAGTCACCTGGAATGCATTTCAATTAACAGGTGTGCCTTCTTAAAAGTTAATTTGTGGAATTTCTTTCCTTCTTAATGCGTTTGAGCCAATCAGTAGTGTTCTGACAAGGTAGGGGTGGTACACAGAAGATAGCCCTATTTTGTAAAAGACCAAGTCCATATTATGGCAAGAACAGCTCAAATAAGCAAAGAGAAACGACAGTCCATCATTACTTTAAGACATGAAGGTCAGTCAATCCGGAAAATGTAAAGAACTTTGAAAGTTTCTTCAAGTGCAGTCGCAAAAACCATCAAGCGCTATGATGAAACTGGCTCTCATGAGGACCGCCACAGGAATGGAAGACCCAGAGTTACCTCTGCTGCAGAGGATAAGTTCATTAGAGTTACCAGCCTCAGAAATTGCAGCCCAAACAAATGCTTCACAGAGTTCAAGTAACAGACACATCTCAACATCAACTGTTCATAGGAGACTGTGTGAATCAGGCCTTCATGGTCGAATTGCTGCAAAGAAACCACTGCCAAAGGACACCAATAAGAAGAAGAGACTTGCTTGGGCCAAGAAACACAAGCAATGGACATTAGACCGGTGGAAATGTGTCCTTTGGTCTGGAGTCCAAATTGGAGATTTTTGGTTCCAACCGCCGTGGCTTTGTGAGACGCGGTGTGGGTGAACGGATGATCTCAGCATGTGTATTTCCCACCGTAAAGCATGGAGGAGGAGGTGTTATGGTGTGGGGGGTGCTTTGCTGGTGACACTGTCTGTGATTTATTTAGAATTCAAGGCACACTTAACCAGCATGGCTACCACAGCATTCTGCAGCGATACGCCATCCCATCTGGTTTGGGCTTAGTGGGACTATCATTTGTTTTTCAACAGGACAATGACCAACACACCTCCAGGCTGTGTAAGGGCTATTTGACCAAGAAGGAGAGTGATGGAGTGCTGCATCAGATGACCTGGCCTCCACAATCCCCCGACCTCAACCCAATTGAGATGGTTTGGGATGAGTCGGACGGCAGAGTGAATGAAAAGCAGCCAACAAGTGCTCAGCATATGTGGGAACTCCTTCAAGACTGTTGGAAAAACATTCCAGGTGAAGCTGGTTGAGAGAATGCCAAGAGTGTGCAAAGCTGTCATCAAGGCACAGGGTGGCTATTTGAAGAATCTGATTGGTTTAACACTTTGTATAGTAAAAAAATAAAATAAGAAAAACCCTTGAATGAGTAGGTGTTTTAAAACTTTTGACTGGTAGTGTAGTCACCTGACCCCTTTACATATCTACCTCCATCACTCCAGTATCCCTGCACATTGTAAATATGGTATTGGAACTGACCCTGTATATAGTCACCTGACCCCTATACATATCTACCTCCATCACATTGTTAATATGGTAATGAACTGACCCTGTAATCACATTGTTAATATGGTAATGAACTGACCCTGTAATCACATTGTTAATATGGTAATGAACTGACCCTGTAATCACATTGTTAATATGGTAATGAACTGACCCTGTAATCACATTGTTAATATGGTAACGAACTGACCCTGTAATCACATTGTTAATATGGTAATGAACTGACCCTGTAATCACATTGTTAATATGGTAACGAACTGACCCTGTAATCACATTGTTAATATGGTAATGAACTGACCCAGTAATCACATTGTTAATATGGTAATGAACTGACCCTGTAATCACATTGTTAATATGGTAATGAACTAACCCTGTAATCACATCGTTAATATGGTAATTACCCTGTAATCACATTGTTAATATGGTAATGACATTGTTAATATGGTAATGACCGTGTAATCACATTGTTAATATGGTAATGACCCTGTATATAGTATGTTTATTTACTTTCTTGTGTTCTTATTTTAATTTCTCATGTTTTTGTTCTATTTTGTGTATAACAATGTTATTGATTACTGCATAGTTGGGTTCAGAGCTAACATTAAAACTTGAATCTAGAATCACGGAATCCAGACATTAAGACGGAAATCAGCTAAATAAAATAAAATGTTTTGATTTGCCAAAGTTAATCATAAGACATTATTCATATTTTCCTGCAACTCTGTGAAATGGTACAGGAATGCCCCTGTCTGTCTGAGTGTGTGGTGCTGTGCGTACGTCTCCACTCTGTGTAGCGGTTAGCGATGATGCTAACAATAACCTTGTTCTGGTAGAGATAGAAAGACAAAGTAGGTTATGCCGACCTGGCAGAATGACATCATCATTATTTGCATCAATCCAGCGGCCATTTGTTTATCAAACTCTGCAATCACAAAATCGCCACAGAAACACCACTAACCCAACAGTCTCCTGCTGGTGCACAGTTGCATTAAAGGGTAACTACACCAAAACATTGAAAATTATATTTTCCCCAGACCTCAAAAGTGGTATCCTGATGTGGTTTAAGCATTGTTGTGGACTTAAAACCTCCAGTTTTTTTATTTTTTATTTGTATTTTTTTTAAAGTGTGCTTTTTAAAGCAAAAAACTGAAACCTGGACAAACTAAATAGAGAAAACAGTCAGGCGGAATGTATAGAGCCCTAGGCATGTTCAGGAGGGTGCAGAGCCCGAGGCATGTTCAGGAGGGTGCAGAGCCCTAGGCATGTTCAGGAGGGTGCAGAGCCCTAGGCATGTTCAGGAGGGTGCAGAGCCCTAGGCATGTTCAGGAGGGTGCAGAGCCCTGGGCATGTTCAGGAGGGTGCAGAGCCCTAGGCATGTTCAGGAGGGTGCAGAGCCCTAGGCATGTTCAGGAGGGTGCAGAGCCCTAGGCATGTTCAGGAGGGTGCAGAGCCCTAGGCATGTTCATGAGGGTGCACCCTTCAGAGAAAGTGTAGATAGAAATTTGTAGTAATATATTATTGCCTATTTTGTGTCTTGTTGCTTGATGTATGAAATATTTAATGGACAATAACATTTTCTATTGTATTCTTGTTTGTCCCTTCCTCCAGATACAGCCTGTAGTCTCCTCCTCTTCGTCCCAGGAACGTTCCCACGGCAACCTGCGCCGCCAGGCAACCTACCCCCCCGGCCACGCCTCCCACTACACCTTCCAGGAAGTGCACCCTCTAAGCTCTGCCCCTAGCCTATACACCTTCCCCGCGTCCGCCGCGCTAGCCTCCGCCTCCCAGGCCATGGAACAGCTTCTGGGGCGTGGCCACCCCTCCACCTATGCCCCACCCACCGTCCCTTACGGTACTTCGGGATTGGTCCGGAGGGACGCAGGAACCAGAAAGGAGTCTTCGGTGGGGGTGGGGCTTCCTGCAGCTTGTCAGCAGCAGTTGACTGCTGAATCCCTTAGTGTCACGCCCCGTGCTGAGGCCTACACCGCATACCAGCTGGGACAGTATCCCTACTTATGATGAGAGATGATACTGGAGGTAGAGGGGTGGTGATGAGTTGGACTATGGCCCCCCCCCCCCCCTCACACCTACGTACGCACACTGAAAGGGCAATAAGTCCCACGGCTTCACCGTGTTGATGAATCTGGGCGAGGTACGGAGCAGGAAAGGAGGCGGAGTCATCCATTCACTGTCACACTACTACATTTGATTTACTGTTAAAAGCAGTGGTTCACATCAAACTGGTTTAAACTTTCCGACCTATTTTAAGTACATTTAAAAAAAAATATTATTATTTTATATTGTACTGTTATTTTTCCCAGCAGAAAAAAAAAAAAAAGGTTAATTGTTTTGTTTTATCCCTGTTTTAATTGGATGCAGAATGAGTCATTGTGGTGATAGGTCAGATATATTATTATGTATTGTGTTTCTGTAAGGCTTTGTGTTAAAGGGTGCTAGTCTCGTTCTCTAGCGGTGTAGTCCGTGAGCTGAAACATACAGCATGCTGCAGATCGAAACATAGGTTTCTGTACCGTACATACGAAATGTATGTATCTGGATGCATATAAAATGTACTTCCATACGAAATGTATGGATCTGACATGCCTCTGTGTTCTACGTGGCAGAAATGTATTGTGGTATAACAGATATGCTGGTCTGTGTGCATTCTGTAACGCTACAGTCTCCTGAATAGGCCCTCGCTGTGTTTCCTTACATTAGGAGATCCTAGAAAGGCCCTGGCTAGAGAGATGCTAGCTAGCTAGAAATGCTAGCTAACCTAAAGAAGACCTAAAGGTGATCCTGGTAGCCGATCTGTAGCACGGCACGCTAGAGAGATGCTAGCTTATTAGCTAACCTAAAGGTGATCATTGTCTTTAGCACACTAGGCTAGAGAGATGCTAGCTTATTAGCTAACCTAAAGGTGATCATTGTCTTTAGCACTCTAGGCTAGAGAGATGCTAGCTTATTAGCTAACCTAAAGGTGATCATTGTCTTTAGCACACTAGGCTAGAGAGATGCTAGCTTATTAGCTAACCTAAAGGTGATCATTGTCTTTAGCACTCTAGGCTAGAGAGATGCTAGCTTATTAGCTAACCTAAAGGTGATCATTGTCTTTAGCACACTAGGCTAGAGAGATGCTAGCTTATTAGCTAACCTAAAGGTGATCATTGTCTTTAGCACTCTAGGCTAGAGAGATGCTAGCTTATTAGCTAACCTAAAGGTGATCAATGTCTTTAGCACTCTAGGCTAGAGAGATGCTAGCTTATTAGCCAACTTAAACAAGTTCTAAATGTGATCCTAGTATCTTTTAGCATGGCAGGCTTGCTAGAGATGTTAGCTATTAGCTAACCCAGGGATTGGCAACTGGCGGCCTTTCGGCTCGCTGCCCCCCTTTTTGTAGGCCCGCGGACCAATTTCACAAAAAAAAAAAAATTGGAACTCAGTTGGGGTCTCAACTTCCTGTTGAGTTAGAATAATACCCTTTACCTACATGTTTTCTTTATTGTGAGTTTGTTTAAATTATGTTTTGTCGTTAATGTGAGCTGTCGAGAGAGAGAGAGAGATTGTCGTTCAACTTAAATCATGAGTATGTTGTACATGTGTGTAGTCTATTCTGTCACAGCCTGGTAACGATGTAGTCTATTCTGTCACAGCCTGGTAACGATGTAGTCTATTCTGTCACAGCCTGATAACGATGTAGTCTATTCTGTCACAGCCTGGTAACGATGTAGTCTATTCTGTCACAGCCTGGTAACGATGTAGTCTATTCTGTCACAGCCTGGTAACGATGTAGTCTATTCTGTCACAGCCTGGTAACGATGTAGTCTATTCTGTCACAGCCTGGTAACGATGTAGTCTATTCTGTCACAGCCTGGTAACGATGTAGTCTATTCTGTCACAGCCTGATAACGATGTAGTCTATTCTGTCACAGCCTGATAACGATGTAGTCTATTCTGTCACAGCCTGGTAACGATGTAGTCTATTCTGTCACAGCCTGGTAACGATGTAGTCTATTCTGTCACAGCCTGGTAACGATGTAGTCTATTCTGTCACAGCCTGGTAACGATGTAGTCTATTCTGTCACAGCCTGGTAACGATGTAGTCTATTCTGTCACAGCCTGGTAACGATGTAGTCTATTCTGTCACAGCCTGGTAACGATGTAGTCTATTCTGTCACAGCCTGGTAACGATGTAGTCTATTCTGTCACAGCCTGATAACGATGTAGTCTATTCTGTCACAGCCTGGTAACGATGTAGTCTATTCTGTCACAGCCTGGTAACGATGTAGTCTATTCTGTCACAGCCTGGTAACGATGTAGTCTATTCTGTCACAGCCTGGTAACGATGTAGTCTATTCTGTCACAGCCTGGTAACGATGTAGTCTATTCTGTCACAGCCTGGTAACGATGTAGTCTATTCTGTCACAGCCTGATAACGATGTAGTCTATTCTGTCACAGCCTGATAACGATGTAGTCTATTCTGTCACAGCCTGGTAACGATGTAGTCTATTCTGTCACAGCCTGGTAACGATGTAGTCTATTCTGTCACAGCCTGGTAACGATGTAGTCTATTCTGTCACAGCCTGATAACGATGTAGTCTATTCTGTCACAGCCTGGTAAAGACACTAATCTTCACACCACCGTACCTGGGTTCAAACACTATTTGAAATCTTTCAAATACTTTTAAAGGGTTTGCTTTAGCTTGCCTGGAGTACCAGGTGGGCAGGGTTTGCACTTTTAGGACTTCTCTATTGGTTCCATTGCAACAGGCACGGTCAATTAAGCACAGTTTAAAGTATTTGACATTATTTCAAATAGTATTTAAACATAGCTCACTGAGAGTTTTAATATTTGTTCTGACTGTGATTGCAGAATGTATTTATGAGGCTGAAAGATCAGTCAGCCAGAAACTACTTTAGAAACTCAATTAATTGAAGTAACAACAACATGAGAACAGACTTTTACGGAAAATGATTTGGTTAATTTGGTCTCCTCTGTTTAGAAGTGCACAATGCATTTAGTAATCAGGTGATTGGTGAGGATAATGTCAACCCAAAACAATCCACAACAACCCAACCACTGTTTTCAAATAAATGAACCATAAGTCCTCATGTCTTGACTCTTTATTCTAAATAATTATAAACCAATCACAGATCATATCAAATATTAGTTGAATGTCCGCTATTTTCAACCCACTGCTGCTTTTACCTGATTAATCTTAAACCCTAACATCTGTGATTCGAAAACAACAAAATGGCTGCCCGCCACTTGATAATATCAAATTCAGTATAGAGCCTGTTGGGGTATAGAGTCTGACTGTTTTTTAAATTTTTTATTTGTTTTATTTAACCAGGTAAGCCAGTTGAGAAAAAGTTCTCATTTACAACTGCGACCTGGCCAAGATAAAGCAAAGCAGTGCGATAAAAACAACAACACAGAGTTATATATGGGGTAAACAAAACATAAAGTCAAAAATACAACAGAAAATATATATACAGTGTGTGCAAATGTATTAAGTTATGGAGGTAAGGCAATAAATAGGCCATAGTGCAAAATAGTTAAAATTTCGTATTAAAACTGGAATGATAGATGTGCAAAAGATGATGTGCAAATAGAGATACTGGGGTGCAAATGAGCAAAATAAATAACAATATGGGGATGAGGTAGTTGGGTGGGCTAATTTCAGATGGGCTGTGTACAGGTGCAGTGATCGGTAAGCTGCTCTGACAACTGATGCTTAAAGTTAGTGAGGGAGATAAGAGTCTCCAGCTTCAGAGATTTTTGCAGTTCGTTCCAGTCATTGGCAGCAGAGAACTGGAAGGAATGGCGGCCAAAGGAGGTGTTGGCTTTGGGAATGACCAGTGAGATATACCTGCTGGAGCGCAGACTACGGGTGGGTGCTGCTATGGTGACCAATGAGCTAAGATAAGACGGGGATTTGCCTAGCAGTGATTTATAGATGGCCTGGAGCCAGTGGGTTTGGTGACGAACATGTAATGAGGAGCAGCCAACAAGAGCGTACAGGTCACAGTGGTGGGTAGTATATGGGGCTTTGGAGACAAAACGGATGGCACTGTGATAGACTACATCCAATTTGCTGAGTAGAGTGTTGGAGGCTATTTTGTAAATGACATCGCCGAAGTCAAGGATCGGTAGGATAGTCAGTTTTACGAGGGCATGTTTGGCAGCATGAGTGAAGGAGGCTTTGTTGCGAAATAGGAAGCCGATTCTAGATCTAACTTTTGATTGGAGATGCTTAATGTGAGTCTGGAAGGAGAGTTTACAGTCTAACCAGACACCTAGGTATTTGTAGTTGTCCACATACTCTAGGTCAGACCCGCCGAGAGTAGTGATTCTAGTCAGGTGGGCGGGTGCAAGCAGCGTTCGGTTGAAGAGCATGCATTTAGTTTTACTAGTGTTTAAGAGCAGTTGGAGGCTACGGAAGGAGTGTTGTATGGCGTTGAAGCTCGTTTGGAGGTTTGTTAACACAGTGTCCAATGAAGGGCCAGATGTATACAAAATGGTGTCGTCCGAGCGTCACCAGCAGCAAGAGCAACATCATTGATATACACAGAGAAAAGTGTCGGCCCGAGAATTGAACCCTGTGGCACCCCCATAGAGACGGCCAGAGGTCCAGACAACAGGCCCTCCGATTTGACACATTGAACTCTATCTGAGAAGTAGTTGATGAACCAGGCGAGGTAGTCATTAGAGAAACCAAGGCTATTTAGTCTGCCAATAAGAATGCGGTGGTTGACAGTCGAAAGCCTTGGCCAGGTCGATGAAGACGTGCGCAGGACTGTCTTTTATCGATCGCGTTTATAATATCGTTTAGGACCTTGAGCGTGGCTGAGGTGCACCCATGATCAGCTCGGAAACCGGATTGCATAGCGGAGAAGGTACGGTGGGATTCGAAATGGTCGGTGATATGTTTGTTAACTTGGCTTTCAAAAGGCAGGGCAGGATGGATATAGGTCTGTAACAGTTTGGATCTAGAGTGTCACCCCCTTTGAA